AGCGTGCTCATAACTGTCTTAGCTATAGACTCTTTATTTGTGCAAAATTACGTTGTCAAAAACTTTACTTTCGTTTTTAAAATCACGTTTTCCTGATACCGTATGTTGATCTGACAATGGTAAAACATGGACCAGAAAGGGATACGTAAAATCTGTGTACGTTTACAAAGCACGACTTAGTGAAGTAGCTCTTTCCACGTTATTTCTTCAACAAAATACTTGAAATAAACGTTAGATACAGGTATCAATGATAATTTTTATCATTTTTTAAGAAATGTACGATGCATAATTAAATTTCCCTACTGCGCACATGCGCACACGTGTTCTAGTTCATACAACATAGTTGTTACGATTTTTCATTTAAAACCTTTTTAAATTTTTTCATCAAATCATGTTTATAAACGTATTTCTTATAATTTCAATCTTTTGGACTATATCAATTAGATAGAAACCGCTGAAATGTAAGAAATTAACTTTGAATAGACCGATCAATTTATACGATGTCCGGTACTGGAAATAGTTTACCTGTCACCTGAACAGGTAGATTTCAGCTGTCCAACAACTAATTAGCCTTGATTAAAATTAGAAAGTATTGAAGTAGGGGTTGTTGTCACGGATAGACGAGAGCTGACTTAGGAGTTTGTACTTACAGATAATAAATGACTACTACTTTAAACAAAATAACAATTTAATTAGGTACAAATTTACAAATATAAATAGATGAAATCAAATGAAATAATACTGTCAAATGTTTAATGAACTGTTCCTTCTTCTTTATATTAAACTATGAAATCTGGATAAACGATACTACGGAATTTTACGTATTTGGTTTTCGGTAACTACACAAAACTGGCCCAACATAAGCGGTGTACACATTACGGCTGCCCTATTGTCTAGACTCGACTCCAAATATTCTATGTTGCCAAACTATTGATGATAAACACGGAACGCCGCACTGTCAACAGGTTTCACCACCATCTGTACTATATCTCCATACTTTACTATACAAAACTACATACACCTAGCCCGCAAACTGGGACCTATTGAAATACATACTGTACGTTAAGATACAATACTATACTTAAGAAATATACATATGTTTATGTATTACACATGTCGCATAAATAATGACAAATACTTAGTACGACTACTTATGTTCAATCTATAGAAGATTATAGCATATTGAATAATGCATTACTTATACACAAATAATTACGGCATATCGTATAATGCCTTACTTTACACAATACAAACTACGGCATATCGTACAATGCCTTACTTTACAAGTCACATAATTGACTTTATTGTATACTATCATTATACAATTACTACACACAATATACAGCTTTTAACGCTGAATATACATTTATGCTTATACGTTGCATATTACTTTACATACTTATGGAGATACATACATCATTGCATTATCGTACGCAAACGTTCCTAAAATACCAAACAATTTCGATACTCGAATATTTACTACAGCCGTAAACATATAACCGTGTTAAACTTTCATTATAATGAACATTAATTAACTTATTACATTTATAAAATAGCAATGTCAAAAATTACAATTACAATTGAAATAATTATTCTATATTTGCGTTGTTGCAGAAAACTGAACACTTTAGAACGAATAATGATTAAATAAATAAGAATAAATTGAATCCTACCTCAGAAATCCAGTGTGTGTGTCCACGCCACATTGTAAACTAACTTTATACAAACATTTCTGACCACACCTTGACTCGTTAAGGTGTTACCTGAGAGTGAATAGTCAGCTCATCAAATACAGGTATCACTGTTACTCAACCCGTTCGACAAGTTTACAGGTAAATGCCCAAGTAAATAGTGGACACTACTTAATTAATTAGATGTAAAATGTGGACATGTATTATACACCGAAGTCTGCAGAATATAGCATTTATAAGATACTGACGTTCTGCAAATCGAAATAGAATTAACAACCAAAATAACAACATATATGTGAGTAAACAAAGTCACCCTGTGACAGTTGTTTTGATAGTAATTAATCATCATGTCACTTTTATGACCGGAAATGTGTGGCTGTTAAAGGCAAAAGGTTGAGTCAAAAAGATCGCGAATTATGCTAAAATGGCTGTCTCTTAAGAAAGCCTTGACAACTAAAAAGTAGATGACCGTTTCATGCTTTGCCCAGCCGTAATTTTACCGGACATTATACAATTGTCCGGAATATATGACAGTTTTGGAAGCCTTGATTCAAATCATTCTAACATCAACAAAATAAGTTGTTACTTCATTAGAACTTGATGAAATTTGCCTGAAGTAAATTTGTTATCCATGTATTGCATTAAAAACTTCATATTCCTTTCCAAATAGCGTGTCAAACATCGTTTATTTTTGTAAATTTTACTTCGTCCGACATTTAAATTATTGGGCATATTATTGTATAATTTAATTTTGGATGTAACACGTCTTCTGATTGGCTGAAAGTGTTTTGTCTATCAGCTCATAGACATAATTTTGTCATGTAACCGCAACGTCATCAACGTTTTTTTTATCATGATTTACTCTTTTTTAGAATTAAATTATAAGAAATGACTTTAATATTTTTTCTGTCTATTCAAAATAACATAAAAAATGTGGTGCACACTTTTAAATAACCCGCTACGCGGGTTATTCAGTGTGCACCATGTTTTTTATGTTATTTCTTCATAGACAGAAAAAATATTACAGTCATTCCTTAAGGTAGCAATAAACAGTTAGGAAAAAATATTAAAATTTTCCCTCATAAATTTTACCATCTCCTTTTCATTGCCTTCTTGCAATATTAAGCTTACTGTTTGTGTCATATATGTGCATATGTATGTAATCAGAATCTTCCATAGATTTCATATCCAGTATATAAAATGGTAAAATATAATTTCTTTTTGGTGTATCCATGGCAACAATCTGCATTTTTTTGTTATAAAATATAGCAAAAAGGGGGGAAAAGATGTCACATATTTCCCCAAAATTTGACCAAAAGTAGAATTTCAATCACTTCAAGTAATACCTTTTCTGAAACTGTTTACATATATCTTTCAATAAATCCAATGAAAATCATATGTCTTTCGTCTCATTTTTTTGTAAAATTGCGTCAAAAACTTCGTGTAGAAAAAAAGTGTTTGTAAACATGTCATTAATTTCTGGACCGATGACCGGTCTAGCTATGAAAATACGGAGAGTCAAACAGAAAATAGCCCATAAAACATGTAAAAAATAATCTTGATGTTCTTATAAACCACCTTTGAAGGCTAAATTAGTACTCAGCTGTCTAAAAATGAATTTTATTACACAATAACTTTCATATTTGAAAAATCCACCGGGGCCAAAATGCGAAACCAAACTCCTAACTGTGTATTGCTACCTAAACAACTACAGATCGGAGTCGGGATTTCATCGGAAACGGACCGGCTATGACTGAAATACGGATTCTTACGATAATGACTATTGACACATGAATGGCACTGCTGACAAGACAAAAATTGATCCCAAAAGGAAAAAAAATACGCTTTCTACATGCATTAAAATACTTTTGTTTAGATCTTCTTGATTAATGTATATATTTCCATGTATATGCATAGTTTCAATTTATAAGTTAAAGTTGCTCAACTCTGGGACTATTACACTAATATAATTATATTATGTCCAAGCTTAACTGTTAAATTTATATACCGGTATCTTTTTAATGAGAAATACTTAATTTCATGAACATGCAAACAGAGTAGTTTTTAATTGAATTTTAAATGATATAACAACTTTCTTTTCCTTTTTGATATAAAAAAAAACTTTTTTATTATTGCCAGATATTTAATTGTTTTTTTCTGACAAGAAGACTCATATGATTGTGCAACTAGATATGATAAAATTAAACAAGTTATTTTAATTGTATACCAAAGGTACAAATTGAACAATATAAAAAAATAAGATATATATTATTATGGCACTTAATGTATTATAGTAAAAACCAAACATTGTGGCGCTGCAACAAACATGCACTTCTCTTTCAAATCTCACCACTTCTCCCTCTCAATTTCAAAAAGAGAAGTCACTTCTCCCTATGATTCTGAAGTAGTGTGAGCCCTGTCCACATTGAGGTCCAAAGGGTCCTAAATTAAACTTTTGTTTGATTTCATCAAAAATTGAATTCTTGGAGTTATTTGATATGCTGATTCTAACAATGTACTTAGATTTTAGACATTCGACGGTAAATGTCCAATTTCAAATTTTTCAGTACTTTGACCACATTCATTTTGTGTCACAAACCTATGCTGTGTCAAATATTCAATCACAATCCAAATTCAGAGCTGTTTTAAGCTTAAATGTAGTGTCCATACTTACTCAACTGTTCAGGGTTCGACCTCTGCAGGAAATCTGGTTTGCTGTCACTCTGACAGCCTCTTGTTATTATGTGAATTCTAGTAATAATATTTCTCTTAGAACAGAAATTGATAATTAATTTCTATGTCATTTGGTCTTTTGTTTAGTTTGAGTTATTTCCCTTTGAACAGAAATTATTTAATGAATAAGTATTTCATCAAAAATTGAATTCTTGGGGTTCTTTGATATGCTGATTCTAACAATGTACTTAGATTTTGGATATTGGACCATAATAGGTAAATGTCCAATTTCAAATTTTTCAGTTCTTTGACCACATTCATTTTGTGTCACAAACCTATGCTGTGTCAAATATTCAATCACAATCCAAATTCAGAGCGGTTTTAAGCTTATATGTTGTGTCCATACTTGCTCATCTGTTCAGGGTTCAACAACTGCAGGAAAATCCAGTTTGCTGTCACTCTGACAGCCTCTTGTTTTTTATAGAATTATCATAGGGTGTTCAAAATTTTACCATTTTTTTTATCATTTTAAAGGAAAAAATTACTCTTTGGCAAATAAAACAAACACTTATTTACATATATAGCAATTGATAAAGAAATGAAATGTTAACTTTTAATTAATAACATTTATTTCAGGTTGCTAGAAAGAGAGCAAAGAAGATACTGTGTATTGCCAAGGAGATTGCATCGTCAGAACATGTATTTGTTGATGTTTTGAAACTGCTTAATGTGGTATGTTCATTGTTTTTATATTTTATCCTTCTTCAATATAAAAATGCAATGCCTTATGGTGTTTCATTTAGATACAATAGAATAAAAACATTTGTTAACAAACAATTTTTTCTAATTTTAGATTTTTTTAACAGAGATAAACAAGTCCTTAGTATGACAAACTATCTCTGCCTATACAACCTTTAGGGAGAGAGCCGCTTTTGATGTACAAATTTTCATTGCATAATCACTTCTTTTACAATCCATTATTACCTTCAAAGAGTAATGCACTTACAAAGCTACCAAGGAGTTGTTTCCCCTTGTCAAAATTTCAAAATGAAAACAATGTCAGTAAGTTTAAAATTGATTATTGGAATAATATATTTATTTCATCTCCCATATAACACATAGGTATCCAAGGGACAAAGTGATTTGGGTCATTGGTCTGAACATTAAGGGCAAAAATTACATGGTACATGCAATGTAAGGTTAGTAAATAGACTTACTCCCTTAAAGTTCTCTGTTTCCTTTAGCAGTATAACTGTCCACAATAAAATTCTTTGAGTGTAAAGAAAGTTGCATTCTTAATGTAAAGATTTTCTTTTGTAGGATTTTCGTATGCACATTTCACGAGCTACAGAGAAAGCTGGTAGACCTATTGTACCATCAGAAGTATTAAACAGGATACTAAAGTACTTACCACAGTTACACAACTTTAATGAAGATCTACTACATGACTTACAGGAGAGAGTAAATAACTGGTAAGGTTTTGTATATTTGGAAGATTTATTTTTATCTTTCAACATGCAGCATGCCAGATATTCAATTTTGAAGTAGAATACATTCTATTTCATAGCTAAGACTGTTTGTTCTACATGATAGAACTCTGTGATTGTTTTAATAAATGTTCTATGGCTATAAAAATGTCTTGTTTGACAATTCATAGGAAAAATCCTCACAGGTTTTTATGCTATCTATTAAAGAAGCATTAGAATTCAAATTCATGTTTACCAATTTGACTCAAATTCTCATATTTTATTTTGAACATACTAAAAAGCCTATCAAAATTACAAAAGTCCTAAAGAAACAATTTACAATGCAAGGACTGGTTATAATGTATCAACGTTTAGTGTGAATTTTCAGGGGTTAAAAAATTTTGTTACAGCTCACTAGCCCAGAACTTATTGGTAGCAGAATTTACTAGCCCTGTTGGAAGAACTGCTAGCCCATCAAAACTGACCTGCTAGCCCGAGTATGCCTTTACTTACAAATTCAGAGTTTGCTGCATAATACAATGAGTTCTATAAACTTGTTCATTTTTATCTGTTGTACTATGGGTTGATAAATATTTTCAGGCACAGAAAACATGTTCATTGGTCTTGTCATGTGAAACCAGTGGTTCAATTCATATATTTGTTGTTCCCACATACAAAGCAGACTTTTTATTAGCGTGCTCGTGAAAATAACAGCAATATTTCACAAAACATTGTTTCTGGTTTATCGTCGGCATCAGCTTACCTTGCCCAGGGTAATCTTTCTGTCCATGACACTATAAATGTTCTCCGCTTTTCCCGGTCGTATTTGCCAGTTTCTGGGGATGAATTTTCAGCCTCATTACCGCCCTTCATCTACCGTTTTTCGTTTTGAAACTGACAAAGTTCTTGTGGTGCCCATACTAAAATATTTGAAATATTTTGTTGCCTGATTTCGTGCTCAACAGCTGTCCGAGAAAAGTACGGGAATTGCGATCAATTCATGATACTGGTCCACCCAGAGTAATTTGTTCTATTTTTAAAACATGTACAAAATCAGTTCAAATTCTTGGAATCCCAGATGACGTAATTGAATCTGATTGGCTAATATAGAATAGTGATGAAGGGATTTTCCACTTTCTATTTTGGAAACACAAAGAATTTTTTGTACTAGTCCGTCTGGCCATGGAAGTAATATTTAAAAGGAATAACAACGACTAATTAGCATGTATTTACGGCCTGCAGTGCTCTGTACTAAAGTCATATGGTTTTATCCAATTATAGTCTCAGCGGCATTACCCCTTTGGTTACTATCTGTGATACCGCGGTTGTAAAATGGCATCTGGAATTTCTTATCAGTCACGTGATTTTATCGAGTCTGGTAATTATAAATCACCTGTGGGAAATCCCTAGTTAATTAATAACAAGGTGGCGCTGTATCATATAAAACTTCTACTTTCAGAAAGAAATCGAATGATGTAAAAAACTTGAAAAACGGACTAGAATTGTTTAAACTACAACAGTTTAACAAGGACAATTATATTTATTTTTGCATATTTTTGCTTTTTACTGTTTGTTTTAAACTGATGTAAAAGTGTTTTCCGATTAAAAGGGGATCATGAGTTAAACAGGTAATAACGATGAAGCGATCAGGTTTCACATGATGTTGAACAAAATAATGTAGACAGATGTAGACATAGAATATTTTACTGTTGAAATGTGCCAAGTTTATCGAGATTTATAAAAATATTTACTTTCAAGTAATTGATTACATTATTGAAACTGGACAATTAAAATCGGGATCATAAGTTCGTAAACATGTTAAATTTATATCTATTTTAAAAAAATGTTTACAATTGAATACTAATATTAATGTAGCACGTTACAGCAAAAAGAAAATCAACCATACAAAACAAGCTTGACGCTATCTGTCTGGTTCATTCCTCCTATTCCCACTTTTTATAAATCTGGTAAGAAAAGTTAAAATTTCATGTGGGAATAGGGGGAAAACTTGTACAAACAAAGGATTATACTGTATAAACATTGTTTAATCAAACTTTAATTGACAAGTGTTTTTTTTTAATAGGTAATAGGTATTTTTTGTATGTGTATGAATTCTGTGTTTTTAATTAAAATAAATATGAAAGAAATGGAAAAAAATATAAGTAAATTATTTTATTTCTTTTATAACACAAATTCAACAGTAGATTCAAGCAAGCATTATACTATGAAACAAACAATACAAGTTAACAGCACTAAAACAAATCACACATTGTAGCACACACATTAGAAATTCACTTGTGTATAATCAAGATATTTGAAATGATTACTTTATAGAGGAGGCATGTTGTCAAAAAAAGTATTGTAATAAATATTAACATTTTTTTCAATGCTACATGTTAGTATTATTTTCTGTCTATCGTTTTGTTATTTATGTTTTTCTTTAGTAACAATCCTATTGTTTGGATTTTAAACTAATAAAATTGTTATTCTTATTCTGTATATAAGTCTATTAAAGTTTATTAATCTATTCAACCAGAAGAAGGTGGGCGGCTGCATCACCAAACTGTACTGTTGTGACTTCCTGGTTGCGGTGTTTAACCTTAAGCTCTTCTAATCTGTTGTTGATTTCTACATACTTTCGTTTTTGGGCCATTCTCTTCCTACCGACTGCATACTGGATCATGGTCAGGGCGTTGAAAGCTTCCTCATGTTTCAGTAGTTTTATTAGTTTAAAGATCTTTGGATATGGGGGCTGGACATGTTTCTTCAGCTTGCTGTGCCATCCCTCTTGATGATGAGTAGTCCTCGGTCCCTGTGTTGTGTAATGGTCCTAAAGGTGACTGTTCTGTTCGACCCAGTATGTTGTTACATAGTCTGTTAATGGCGTGTAGTTGATATTAGTATCAATCTGATCTATGTCGGATAGGGCATTAAACCACACATCTTCGACTTCAGCAGTAGGCATAGCGTACTAGTTGGTGAATGTTGTTGTCTTCCTTGTATGGAACCTGAATCCCTGTTTCTTGTGCTTTTCTCCAGATGCATTGTGTGTAGTGGAGAAAAAAAAACAGCCTTTTGATGTGATTCCAGGAAATACAGAATATGCTGCATTTCGGATGGCGACTTCATAGTGCAGGAAGATAGTGGTAGGCTGAAGTTGTAGTTGGTGTTGGTGGCATACATCTTTGAGTAAAGTCATGAACCTTGTGTATACTAGTTCGCTCTTGGCTGGAAGTAAAATGTGTACAAGTGGATACGTTGCGCCGTCAACCATTGCGTGAAATGTGTGATGTTGGAAGAACAGGCTCGGAGATTAGTAAAATGTACCATCACCATATATGATATCTGCAGCTGCTAAGTGTGTTAGATTCTTTTGAGAACTGAAGATTGACAAACGCCAAACTGTGTTGTCGTCTGTTAGCAGGAATGGGTCACCTTTGGAAGTACATGCCCAAATACCATCTATGTTGATTTCATCAGCAGTTTTTGGTAAAACTGGTAGGTTCTTCTTTCGTTTGTTGTACATGGAAATCTTGCAAGATGGGAAAGTTTGTTATAATATTATCTATCATCAATTTATTTGTTCGGATGACAATATTTTAAGTTTACAAATTCAATGATTTTTTTAATCTTACTTCTATCTATCTGACTTATTTTTTATTTTTAAGTAATTCTTTGAAGAAGAAAAAACATATTACAAATAAACTGTGTATTAAATTATTTTTTTAAAAATAATATTATACTTAAACAGTGTAAGAAATATGTTTTCTTTAAAAAAATACAGGTAAATCTTAGGTAAAATTTTAATTAACCTTGATTGTTATAAAAACAAATTATTTATCAAAACATCTATTGTTATTTGCATGTGGGAATTGAAGGAATAGTGATTTTAAAAAAGTGGGAATAGGAGGAAGACACCATCTGTCTAACCGCAAATTTATTTTATATGAATTTGTTTATGTACAAATTAAAGAATAGAAACGTTTAAAATTATGAATATTAAAATTGCCTGGTATACACGAAAGACTTGGATTATTCGTATTTAATAAAAGGGGGTCGAAACATATTTTTTGTACAATCATCTTCTTAACTTTGAGAAATGGCTTCTTAATTTACTGGTTTTAAGTATTAAAATTGAAAATGATCCACCTTTTTTCTTAAATTCAATATGTGATAACTGTCGGCCTAAACTATTAAGATCGAAAAAGACATAAATAGGAAAAATAGACTAAAATCAACATTGAATGACTGACTCTTTTCGGTAGCGTACAGCAGCGGAATGTAACGAGTGAACTATTCGGGTTACTTCGTATGTACATACAACAACAACTGGTCTATTCGTAATTTTCCCGGAACACGAAAATGACCGAAAAGTGTCAGTGATTTGATCTATCACATGCCGAGAGTCAATTACCATGCCATATATTAAACCAATTAACGAGTTATCCAAAGATGGGCGGTAACGCAGATGAAACCTTTGAAGTGACGACATTGTTATTCCTTTCAATATTACTTCCATGATCTGGCATATTGGGTTACAAGTTTTGATCGCCCGAGGCCTAAATGCTCTTGTCCCGGGCATCGGGCTAGTGGATTTTTTAGCCCCTGATTTTAGAATAATTTCTAATTAACCATCAAAATGATCTCTGAAGAAATCCATAGGTCATATGACCTTATGTAAACATAAATAAAAGTACAGCTCTAGGCAAGCACGTGCAATCGTATAATAGGTCTGTTTGATTTCATGTCATAGATTAAAAAGATATGTAAATCATCGTTTACCTGTATTTGAATGATTTTTTGTGGGCAGAATCAGTCAACGAAAGGGATCTTCCTGGTGGCTGTCTTGTTTCACTTTTCATTGTTGACATTCTTTTCTTTTTAAGTACTAAACATAATGAGCCCATTAGTAGCCCTTCTTAGTTAAGGGTTAGATTGAAGTTCGCATGAATACAGATTCAAATGAGTTGAATTATTGACTTGCAGGCCAATTGTGCAATCAATATTTTTTAGCTCATTTTGACAAAATTGAACCAAAACTGACTGCTTATTGCGAAATATTATTTCACAATTCCGCTTTTATAAAAGTCTGAAACCAAAAGAATCATATTTTGATTTTTTATCAACTTTGTAGGTAATTCCTTCAAACATTCCTACAAATATTGACCTTCAAAAAGTGTTTAGTAGTCGTAGTTAGATTAAGGATTATCACTATTTTGTGTATTTTTCCTTTGATCTTTTCTGTGATAATTTTTCATGTCATGCTTCTCTCTTGAGACAGAAAGTAATCGATAGAAACTAAGGGGGCATGTGCAGTTGTCAATGTAAACATCAATGAAGTCATTGGCAAAGTAGCCATAAACAGGTTATCATTGGTCTTTCAAACTCGAGGATGTTTCTCACCGCTTTACCCTTTGATTTGATAAGATTGTAGCTGAGAAACACCCTCTCGTTTGAAATACCATCGATAACTATAAGTATCCCCTAAAATCAATGCTAAGACAATCTTGATCTTGCTGTTAGATGTCAGTTCTTTTGCTTATCATTCAAAACCTTACAAAGATTGTAACACTGAAGTATAATAATAAAAGTATTTATGTTTATGCATTCTCATTGTTTTCTTTGATATCAAAGCAGCTGTAGACTGTTGGTTTATAATATAATTTAGAGGGATGACAACTTTACCTTTGAAAAGGACTGCCTTCTCCAGATATCTAACCATTGAAGTGAATAAATATTGCATTAGTTTTCCTTACTCTATAACATTGAGTGTGTGTGTGATTCTGATAAAACCCAGAGCCTGAAATTTCAAATAGCATCCTAGCATAGCTGAAATTTATAACATCAGATTTTTGTGTTGCGGGTGACATGGAAATAGCGCTCTCATGTGAACAATTTTTTTTTATGAAACTTATATCATAGGTTTATATTAGCAATGTCTTGGACGTGTTCAAAAATCAGTGCCAATCATTCATTTTTAAAAGAGTTATGCCCCTTGGACACATTAATTTTATGGAAAATTGCATCGTTAGCGCTCTCATGTGTACATTTCTTGCAAGAATTTTATGAAACCTATATCATAGGTTTATATAAGCAATGTGTTAGATGAGTTCGAAAATCAGTGCCAATCACTTATTTTTAAAAGAGTTATGATCCTTCCAAACATTAATTATATGGAGAACTGCATTGTTAGCGCTTTCATATGTACAATTCTTGCCAGAATTTTATGAAACTTAAATCATAGGTTTATATTAGCAATGTCTTGTTGTTCTTAAAACACAAGGAAAAACTATTACTGATAGAATTATGATATGAAATTATATGGTCAGGGTATCCTTATGCTTAACTGTATAAGGAAGAACGCCCCTTTAGGATCAATGTAAAGTTATATGATCTTTATTTATAAGTACATAGATGCATTTAAATGACAAAAACTCAAAGGTAATATATATATATATATATATAAACAAGTCTAAATTGAAAACAACGTTCAAACCTATGATTGCGTTGGATAAAAACCGCAATTTTTATACGTGTGCATGCAAAACAAATTTCTTGGTAGAGGGGTCTAAATACAGCACAAACAACATTTTCCAAAAGACCAAAAAAGTGAAAAAGTATATTTTAACAAAACGCATTTGACTAACAGGTCGAACAACAAATGTTCTTAAACCCTGCTGACTGCCATTGGCGATTGCCAAATAAACGGATCACCGATGTAATAAATAGATCGTAATTATAAATTTAATACTAAACAGAAAACAATAAACTTGCGGAAAAGATGGTATACCGCAAACAAAAGGTGCAAAGGTTTTTGTACACCATATCCGGATTTCGACAATTAATGTCTCTTCAGTGATGTTAGGAATCGAAACGGTATTTGGAAAGCCATACAATTTACCTCAATTTGGGATAGACTCTTGAATTTTGAGGAGTCAAAATAGGATGAACGGATCATATAAACCCGAAGGCAAATGTTATACAAGCCCAAACGAAAAAATATAAACAAGTCTAAATTGAAAACAACGTTCAAACCTATGATTGCGTTGGATAAAAACCGCAATTTTTATACGTGTGCATGCAAAACAAATTTCTTGGTAGAGGGGTCTAAATACAGCACAAACAACATTTTCCAAAAGACCAAAAAAGTGAAAAAGTATCCGTTTATTTGGCAATCGTCAATGGCAGTCAGCAGGGTTTAAGAACATTTGTTGTTCGACCTGTTAGTCAAATGCGTTTTGTTAAAATATACTTTTTCACTTTTTATATATATATATATATATATATAATAAAAACTATAACACAATTTTCCATACGTTTCGGCCATTACACAGCCTTCTTCATTGGAATAAATTACAACATTAAAACAACAATTACGTCGCTTGGATACATTACGTTATAATAACTACTATGACGTTCATTTGCCGCGGTTTTTTCTTTTTTTTATAAATATTTTCACTATCGTTCATACATTGTGTTGAGTCCATCAAGCTCTAAAGTTTTAAATTTTTTTATCCAAAAGGCTTCTTTAGTTTTTCTGTAAATTTCTGTTCCAAATACTCTTTCTATGGCGGTAACTTTTAAATTTTTCATCGAATGATTATGCTGAATGAAGTGGTTTGCTACCGGATCGTCTGTTTTGTTTGTTCGTATTTTTGAAAATAATAGGTTCAATAGCATCCGTTGATAAAGTGTATCACCCGTTTGTCCTACATATATAAGTTTTTAGCATTTTGTACAGTTAATTGCATATACTACGCCCACGGTTTTACAGTTTATTTGTCCCTGAATGGTATATTCTTTCCCGGTGTTGTCACAAAATACCTTGGTTTCATTTATGTGTGAGCATAATGCACAATTTTTACTGCATGGTCCACAGCCATTAGTTTGTTTATAAAATAGTAAATTGTGCTTTTTGTGCACTAAGATGTCTTTTATGTTGTTGTCGCGTTTAAATGCTACGATAGGCGGATCGGGGAATATTTTCTTTAGCCTGTTAGATTTGATGGAGAATTTTAAGATTTTTTCTGAGAATTGAATGTATATTTGGAAGCACTTTGGAAAAAGTAATCACCAAGGGTACTCTGTCGTTTTCTTTCTTTGGTTTGTACTGTAATAGATCGTCTCGGTTTAGAATGTCGACTTTTTTTAATTGAACTTCAGTTGTTGAGTTATTATATCCACGTTTTTTCAGGTGCATTTTTATTTCTTCTCTTCTAATTTTGTTATTTTCTTCTGTTGAGCAAATTCTTTTGACACGAATACCGAGTCCATATGGTATAGCATTTTTTAAAGAATTTGGATGTCTTGACGAAACATGTTAGTACTGGTGTTTATCTGTCGATTTTGTAAAAAGATCTGTTTTAAGTTGTCTGTTTTCTATGTTTACAAACACATCAAGAAATTCGATTTTTTCAGTTGAGTAACGCATTTCTGTTTTAATTCGCGGATGTAAATTATTGGACAATTCGTGAAATTTTTTTAATTCATCTAAACCATGTTCCCATATTCCCCAGTTGTCATCAACATATCTCCAATATGAAAACGGGTGTAAATTGCTGTTTTGAAATAAATTTTCCTCCCATTGTCCAAGGTAGGTGCAAGCATAATTCATGCCTAGATGGAAACCAATAGCTGTTCCTTCTGTTTGTAAAAAGTGCTTTCCGTTAAAGCTAAAATTATTATTTTCAATGACTAAGTCCATCATTTTAAGAACATCTTCAGTTGGGATTGATATATCAGATTGATTTTCTAATGCTGTTTTACATGCTTCTCATGCTTCTTTTCGTGGTAAACTTGGATACAAATTAGTTACATCTAAACAAAACATTATTGCGTTGTCTGGTAATGGCTGTTGAATTGCATTTAGTTTGTTTAAAAAATCTGTTGTGTCTTTAATATAGGTGGGCAAGTTTCGAACGTTTTCCAAAAGTTCGTTTTCCACTATTTCCGCGATCTTTTCTGTTGAATGGTTCCGCCCATTAATAATTGTTCTTACCATTGATTTTTTTGGTGCAATTTTGGATATGCTTGTACTTTTCCAGGACATGTTCCTTTCGGTAGTAGATATTTTTTCATGTCTTTGTCTATTATTTCTCTTTTACATAAATTTTCTACAAGTTTCTTTACTTTATTTTCATTTTTCTGTGTGAGATCTTTATCTATTGCTTTGTAAGTATCGTTGTTATTTAATTCTTTTTTGACTTCTAGTTTATAGTCTTCTGTGTTCATTATAACAACGCCGGAGGATTTATCGCTCGGTCGTATCCCGATGCTTGTATCATATAACAGTTCTCGCATTGCCTTTTCTTCTTCTGTAGTAATATTCATTTTAAATTTTCGGCTTAATCTACTTCAAATAACATCTTTTACTGTCTGAATATATTCGTCTAACCATCGTTCTCTTCCGGGTGAGGGTGTGAAATTACTTGATTTTTTGAATTTAGAATATTCGTTTTGATAATTTTCTTTTTCCTAGTTTTCTTCAAAAAAATATTTATAGCAATTAGATATGAAAATGTGATTTCTATTTCAGGGAGAATTGTAAGAAAGTAGCTGATATTTTTGTGAAGAAGGGACCATTTTTGAAGATGTATACAGCATATATCACTGACTTTGAAGAAACTAACAGAGTTTTTGATGATGCTATTAAGAAGATTCCAACATTTCAACAAGTTGTCAAAGAATTTGAGGTAAAAATAGTTTGTGGTATAGGGTATATAAATCTTTTGTAGACTATAATGTCAAAGTCCCTTTTAGAAATAGGATAGTGAGTATCAAAATTTCATGAAAATCATTTTTTTTATATATATATATTAGGCCTACATATGCTTTGGTTTTTTTTCAGATGTCTCCAAGATGTGCTAGTTTGGGAGTAAGGCATTATTTACTGAAACCAATACAGAGAATACCACAGTATAAACTATTGTTACAAGGTAGAAATATTCACAAATAAAGAATTTTGATAGAGTAATTCTATATAATGATAGAAACATCCTTTTTGCATGCTAAGTCTTTTTTGGAAAAAACTAAGATGAATGGAAATAAAACAAAAGTTCATCATGAAAATGCAGATTGAGGAAAAAGAAAAACCATTTTAACTATACCTTAACAGTAATAGATATCATACTTGATTTTGCTTGAATATTAACAAATAATGTCCCACATTGTAATTTACAAATCCTTTCTTCTTCCTGCAAAGTGTGAAACTTTTTTCAGTGACAAAATTATCAAAGTGAAGTTTCTTAAGTTACTCTGTAAGTCTTACCTGACTGTGATTGTAGTTACGACTTTTAAAATTTTATCGTTTCCTCATATTCAAAGTTGTATTGTGCACAAATTTCTACCATTACAAAAATTGATTTGGTATGAAGTTTGATTAAACACATTTAATGTATTTTCCAATTGTAGATTATCTAAAACATCTCTCTCCAGAATCAGAAGACTATCAAAGTACAAAAAGTAAGTTTGATATTAGATCCAGCATACTTCACCATTAAGTTAAAAGTCTAGCATCAATACAAAGCATCATGTGTGTTGCACTTACTCCATAGTCTCAGAAAGAAGGAAATAATTGTATGAAAAAGAGATGAATTTAAAAAGATATGGCATACATGTCATTGAGACAGTAAGGTAATTATAGAACAAAAAATCTAGATGGAGGCTATGCATGTAATTGTTGACATCTTTTTTCTTTGGTTTTTGTGGATAGTTATCTGACAATCATACCACATCTCCTCATGCATCTAGAGACAAAAATCTTCAACAGTAGACAATTGTCCATGCAGTATACTAGGTGTAAATTGCCCAAAGTCTAGAAAATTTGCAATGAAATTAAACAGAGACTGTTAATGATTGCAAACAATACTCCAGTCCATAAATGGCAAAAACAAACATTAGATATAACAAAAGATTTAAACCACTATCAAAGTTCCTGATTTTGGACAAGCGAATGAATATTGGTGGGGTTAAACAATTTTCTTAGCACTCAACCTCCCCCTTTTAATCTTTATTAATAAAAAAAAAAGTTTACATAGAAAAATTTACAATGAAAATCTCAACAGAAAAAATTAGAGGTCTTAGTCATTTATACAAATATGTATCATACATTAAAATGATATGGTCTTTATTGGTCTATTGTAGCTGCATTACATATTGTGAGTGAAGTAGCTGACCATGCCAACAGCAGTATGAGACAAGGGGTAGGTTTCATTATTGCAACTCATTAGTGTTAACAGTGGCCTAGTTGTTTAGTTACCGTAGAAACTCGCCTAATAGTCGATCCTACTATAAGTCGGGTGCCCTTTTCAGCTCCAAATTCTAAGGATTTAGTCTTGACCCTCGTATAAGTCGGACAAAATTTGGGCATTTTTTTTTTCAGCTGACAGTAACTGAACGCCGGTAAAACCAATGCAAATCCAGGAATAATATTCATTTCTGCATTGATGTTTGTTTGGTTTGAATTTAGTTGATGCTCATCATGATAATTTATATTGCTGTTAATAATAAAGATGTATTCATTTCTCTTGTTTTGTTCACTGTTCAAGTGTTTGATTAGCCATGTGTTGTTTACGTAATGCATCAATGATTTTGTAGGGTATGACTAACAACCTATTGTTTGAGAAAAGCCAATATAAACCAATATGAACCTGAAAAATTTAAAGTCAATCAACACTTGATGAAAATATTTTTCACAGCATACATAACTCGGTGTTAAATGAGCATGTACACTTCATAATTCTTATTATATTGTGATGATTAAAGGATTAAAAAAATTAAGTGAAGCTAATCAATATATTAAAATAACTAACTCCAACTCATTATTGTCATCTGTTTACCTATCACTGATAGTTTTCACACCTTTAGTAAATACAACTCTTTGTCTCTTAATTGGGGTTATCAGTGGATTATATTGGCTTGTCAATCAATTTTGTAATTTTTGTTTACCTGAGACACTTTAATGAATAATATTTTGATTTTGGGAATGAATCTTAAAATTATTTTTTGATTATTATATGATTTATAAGCATTGAATTGATATCATGATATCACAATAATGACACAATAACTCCGCTGAAAACATCCTTTCACATATTTGGTACATTGTTATCTCCTTTTCATTTTTGGTTCTTGGCTCTTCTTTTGGGTTTATAGGAAAACCATGTGACCATGAAAATCAATACACAAACCGGAAACCGTAGAATTTCAACACGAATTTGCAGAAAATGTTTACCAAAGAACAAATAAAACACAAAGACAGTATTGTAGTCATTTATTTTCAACAAAAACTTTTTATTTATTGATTTATGTAGGTTTGGCAATCAAAAACGTAGTTTTGACCAGGAAATTAACTCCTGACCACTTTTCTCAAGCTTGGATTTTTCCTCTGGTCGCTAGATCTCGTCTATTAGTCGGTCCCCCTCTCTGGATTATGAATTTTACTCCCAATTTTCCGACTAATAAGCGAGTAGGAACGGTAGTTGGTCAACATCATTATCATTTTTTCATGACGATTCATGGGGCCTTGTTGGCCGAGTTGTCTTACTGGTTCAACTACTGTATCACTAGCCTGTCAACACTGAGGTTGTGAGTTTTGACTGCATATGGCAGGTGTGGTTGACTACAATTTTGATAGACTAGGATTGTCAGTTTTCCAACCAAAGGTTTGTGGTTCTCTGGGCACCCTGGCTTCCTCCACCTTCCTCTACCAGTGAAAACTGGACACCACAAAATAGCTAACAGTGCTGAAAGTGTCATTAAACACCAATCAATCAATCTGAAGCTTCATTCTTCTGTATTCTATAAGCTTCATAGCAACCCCAAATAAAGCCAGAAATAGTAAACAAGCAGAATTTTGTAATATTAGGTACTGTGGATTCATTTTTATTCGTGGTATACCAATTTTCGTGGGTTTCGTGGGTCACAGCGAACCACGAATTTAAGAATTCAACGAAGAATAATCCCGAGAAATGTGTATGGAGTCGGATGTTTATTTCCAGTTATGTTATGCAGTTCTAGTATAGTGTTGACTAACGATAAACATTGTAACATAACACATGTTTTTCTTGAAAGAAGATACAAGTATTTTGATTAAATCAATAATAAATATATCGAATATCAGTGACAATTTACTATTTAAAATTGATTTAAACTGTTCATGGAAAATAAATGCAAGTTGTTAATTACCGTGTCATAGTTTGGTTTACTGGTGATTAAAAATCAATAGGATTAACGGTGCGGGGATATTGCCCGTAGGTAATATTATTTATGACAGGAACATTTATTTTCACACCTTTTACTTATACTTATATATTATATCGTGATTAGGGAAATGAGCTTTCGATCATAGAGTTTTAAATGCCTTATAAAATTCCGACAAGAATTTATAAATTGTAAAACAAACAAATAATTAGTTGTCTCTGTCCATTATTGTAATAGAAGTTTTCAATGAACACTTTAACCTAGAATGACCAAGCGAGGATTTTGACAATTCAAAACCTTTTCAATGAATTCTTTCTTTTTTGTTTGTTTTATTATTGATCAAACCAAGGAGGGTATATGATCTCCTAAATTAAAAAGAAATCCACGAATTACGTATCGGATTTTTTTTTTTTTTTTTTGTTATCAGCGATCCACGAATTTACGTATACCACGAAACGTCTTTTTTTCTCTATCCACGAAAATTGATACCCACGAAAATAAATGAATCCACAGTATATTGATCAGAAATCAGTTTAAATATTTTTTGATGATTGAAAAAAAACTTTCATTTCAGGACCAAGTACAAAAAATGTTAGAAATACAAAAAAGTTTAGAGGGACAGTTTGAAGTAATCAAACCTGGCAGGGTAAGTCTTTTGATAGATAATAAAAGGTGGAAAATATAAACATATATTTCTTTTCTATTTGAAATTTCTAAATGGTGTTGGATGCATCCAAATTTTGAGTAGATGTCCATATGAGCAAAAACATTCTGTGTTTATCTGTATGAATATACAATATATTGTAAAGATTACCTGAAAATTATGTGTAATATTAGTTTGAATGATCAAAGAAATTGACAGTTCAACTCTTTATGTTTTGATTTATTTACAGTGACTTTTCACATGTTGCCTCTAATCTGTATATTTGCAGGATTTAATTAAGAAAGGAGAACTTATGAAATTGTCCAGAAAAGAAATGCAACCAAGGATGTTCTTTTTGGTAAGGATTAATTTTCCTGGCCTTTTCATACATATATATGTAAATGTTAATAGGGATTTGTCAGATTTCACATTTAGGTTGTGGCATCAGTGGAAGATTGGTCTAGGTAGATTGGAAATACATATTAGTTATCGGGTATATCCCAACAGCACAAACAAAGTCACGGTTTCATGACAAGTCATAGTATACACTTCTAATTCTCTTTTACTGTGTACCAACTTATTTTATAATTTTTTACTTTTTTTATGAACGCATTATATTATCTATACTCACTATTTTTATTTTTATTTTTTTTTATTTTCAGTTTAATGATGTGCTGTTATACACTACACCAACACCTACTGGGGGATATAGACTGAACAATGTATTAACTTTGAGTGGTATGAAGGTACCTATCAATATAGATTCTTTATTAAATCAGATTGTCAATCTTACGACACATTCAAAAAAATTTTAAACTCTGAAGTAAACTTGCCCAACAAGTTCCTCATTTCCTTGGATATTTTCTGTATTTGCTAGTGACAACCTAAACGATAGTTGAAATTTTAAGAAGAAAATAATTGATAATATGAGTATTGTTGAACTATGTTGATTTGTTTTGTTTTTTAAATTGTGGCAGTATTAACTTATGGTCAATAGTAGGCCATCTTTCTTAGGGCCACTTCTTCAGCTTTTGAAATGATGCTTTAAAGTATGAGGGCATCTGATATATAACAAAGATCCATTTATCATACTAATGCATGTTGCAGTTTATCAACTTTTTAAGTTTTACCCTCGTCCGTCTGTACGTCCGTATGTACATCTGTACGTCTCAAAATTGGTTTCCGTTCTCTAACTTTAGTTTACCTCAACCAAATGTTATTAAACTTATACACAATGCTTATTACCACAAAACACAGATCAGGTTTGAAGTTGGGTGGCATCACTTTTACCTTTCTAGAGTTATGCCCCTTTACAAATGGAACAATTGTTGAATTTTTTCGTTTCTGTTCTCTACCTAAAGTTTGTCTCAACCAAATGTTATGAAACTTATTCACAATGCTTTTTACCACAAAACTCAGATCAAGTACGAATTTGGGTAGTGTTACTTTTACCGTTCTTGAGTATGTCCCTTTATAATGTTATATGCAAGCGGGAGCATCATTTGTGTCCCATGGACACACTCCCCATTTATTGCCTCATGTTTTCATATAAGAAGAAAAAAGATGTGTATAATTTAAATCACTTATGGGGACTCGGTGGCCTAGTGGTCTAAGTAGTTCATCTACAGTATCACTAGCCTGTAACACTGAGGTTGTGAGATTGAACCCTGAACCTTGCATTTGACCCGAATCTTATTTGACTAGGATTGTAAGTTTTCCTTCCAGCTTTCTCCACCAATAAAACTGATTGTCCGGATATAGCCAATAGTGCTGAAAGTGGCGTTAAACACCAACAATCAACCAATAAGATCAGTTTGAAAATAAGGAATACTTACTAAAGTTTAAATGAGACCAGTTTATTCAGTCTAGAGATGCTTACAATGATTTTATGCTGCATGTAATCTTTTCAGATAACTTTACCAGCCTCAAAAGAATACAACACAGAATTTAACATTGTTACAGTACAAAGATCATTTACAGTAGAAGCTAGGTAAGTGGAATAAACAGATGGGAACATACTTATAAAAATATGGAGATGTGGTATGATTGCAAATAAGACAACTATCAATTGTAGATGTAAACAACTACAGGTCACTGCCTGCAACAATGAGCAAAACCCATACCATATAATAAGCTATTAAAGGCCATAACAAAATGTGAAAGTTTGATTGATTGTTGTCTGAAATTCTCATAAGGATGTCATAGTTCACTTTTAATTAAACTAGTATTATAGAATATCTACAGAAGGTCTAAGTTTTAATGAACTTTTTTATGAGCCCAAAATTCAATGGCTGGGGCATAAGATGTTATTGTCTTTCCATCCTTGTGAAATCTAACAGTGGTCTTGTTTTTAGATTTTCTATGTAGACATTGAGCTGATGTTTGTGTATAAAAAAGAGGCATAAGATACCAAAGGGACAATAAAAACTCATAAGTTGAAGAAAAACAGACAATACCATGACAAAAACAGCCAGCAAAACACTACATAGAGGACTGATCATACACTCAGACTAAGCATGTTTTAGAAAAATTGTACTTGTTAGAATAATTCATTTTACCTGATGATATTTAATTGGTTTAAGGTTCATTTGATATGAAGTTCACAATTAGTTCAAGATGACTTACTTTTCACAGAATTACAGGTTAATAACAGTCAATGTGCATTTACAGCACATCTTGACAGATCTAGTTTTTATGTTGGGATAAAACTTTTGCCACTTGGAATACTTTTTTTATTGTATGGAAACTTGCTGGAATTTTAAAGCACTTACATGCAATCTTTAATTTGTGATAATCAACAAGTTACTTTGTTGAAATTTAAACTGAGTCAAATCTGTATTTAGCAGTCGCTCTTGGGAAGTATCAAAAGTGTTAGTTCAAGAGAGGTGACCTTTTAAAATGATGTTCTGAACAAATCTGATTCCTACATTGGCAGGGGTCAGTGGCAAATTGTTTTAGTGTTTTCAATTGCTAGAGGCATCCTACTTGCGAGCAGTGAAATAAAAAATGGCTGATTCCGATGCTGTAAATTGTAAGAAAAATTCAAAATATATTAATATTCGTGGAGAAAAAAATCTGTGATACGATTTTCCATGGTAACTGAAAGGAGTGGAACATGGGTAATACAATTCACGAATTCACATTCTACTGCATGATATTGGTTGCAAATGTGTTTCAATTTTCATTTTGACTTCCATATTAATACATATATTTTTGGTCATGATTATTTTAGTAGTTAAAAATATGAAAATAACCATTGTTAAAAGTTGAAAGGACGAAATTTGTGCGAAAATTAGGTGACTGCGGACCCCATTAGACAGATGACCTCTGAAAAGAATTAAATTATATAGAGAAAACTTTTGGGAGGGTCTGAAAATTACTGTTTGAGGCAGGTGACCTTTTAAGCAGGTTTGACTGTACAATAATTTTTGTCTCGCCTTGACAGAGTCAAAAAGCGAGACATAGGTATGCTGTTTCCGGCAACGGCAGCGTCAACAATGTATTAGTTTGTGATTAGGTCTAGTTCATGGTGAACCACTAGTGGTAGGTCAATGATATTTGGTATGCAGTTGTATTAGCATTGGCACATCTCATTTCCATGGAGATTATTTGGCCCCGCCCCATCAGTCAAGGTCTATTGACTTTGAAACTTTTCATAGTTTACATGTATTAGTTTGTGATTAGGTCAATTTATGGGGAACCACTAGTGGTAAGTCAATGATATTTGGTATGCAGTTGTATAAGCATTGGCATATCTCATTTCCATGGAGATTATTTGGCTCGCCCCCTTAGCCATGGTCTATAGACTTTGAAAATTTTGCTAAGTCAACATGTATTAGTTTGTGATTAGGTCAGTTCAAGGGGAACCATTAGTGGTAGGCCAATGTTAATTGGTGTTCAGTTGTATAAGCATTAGTACATCTCATTTCCATAGAGAATATTTGGCCCCGCCCCCTCAGTCATGGTCTATTTACTTTGAAACTTTTGCTTAGTTTACATGTATTAGTTTGTGATTAGATCAGTTTAAGATGAACTGCTAATGTTAAGTCAATGATATTTGGTATGCAAATTTATTGGCATTTGCAAGTACTGTTTCCATGGAGATTATATAGCCCCACCCCTGATCATGGTTCATTGACTTTGAAACTTTTACATAGTTTACAAGTTAATGTTTGTGTTTAGGTTTGTTTAAAGGGAATTACTTATAATAAGTCAATGGTATTTGGTATGCAGTTGTATTAGCATTGGCACATCTCATTCCATTGAGATTGTTTAGCCATGTACCTTCAATCATAGTTCATCGACTTTGAATATTTGCATAACTTACATGTAAGTATTGCTATTTTGATATCAACATTTGCATTATCAAAATTACAAAAAGGCGAGACATATCTCTGTGATAACAGTATATTGTTTTTAGATCTATATTATTTAACTTTTCAGTAAGTTAAAGTTATGAAGAATATCTGTAAAGCTGTGTCTTAAGATTAAAAGTTTGCTGCAGTTCAATACAAATATTTATTCAGAACGTTGGATAACAATTTGAAGTAACTCCTTGTTGGACAACTGCATTATACTATAATAAGTTTGAAGTAAAAAAATGTTTTATGGTACATTCTTTATTTATACTAGTTCGGAAAAAGATAGAGATGAATGGGTTACATCCTTGAAAAATACCATAGATGATTATACTCAGAGGAGAAATACCTTTGAAACTGTCAGAGCTGGTAACCAGGTAGGTAATAAAAGTTTACATCCTGATTTGATTTTGAATGGTCAGAAAGTTAACTAAATTGATGCCTTTTAATTAAAATCTGTAAATATGAAACACATGCAAGCAAGTTTACAATGTAAATGTTAAATTTTAAAGCTTCACATGATTACATGCATTTTCACTTCAATTACAAGTGCTGTCCACTTATGGGAACATGATTCCCCATAAATTTATTTCACAAATATTTATGAATATTTTCACAATGTTTGTTCGTTCATTGACAAGTATTTAATCTCCATACAATTTCCACTCTCATTGATATGGGGATTGGTGTATAATGTGCTCCTGGTACAGCTGTGTATCCCTTTTTCCCTCTCCTGAATTCACAAAGAAAACAATCTTTTTTCAATGGAAAACAAGACTAAACAAAGTAGGACAAGTTAAGAGTATGTAGTTGAGTGCTATGCCAATTGTATATCATTTCAAATTAATGTTCTAATTGAACCAGGTCAAAAATAAATTAATCTTGAAAAGGTCAATGAGATTAGAATAAGGCTTAGTTTGAAAATCATAATTTCTTTCTCAATAATTGATTTCATGTCTTTTTAAGATTTAAATTTTGTTTTTGAACAGATGGAACAAATATATGAAGTATGTAAACAAAAGTATGCTTATTTACATGTAAACAAACTCTGTATCCTGGCTTAGAAATATTCCTTACCTAGATTTATACCTAAGAACATTGCTTTTTAGTTCACCTGACTAAGACCATATTAGCTATTGCTATATTTATCTCTTTAAACATTCATCATACATTCAGCATTCTTATTTATGAAAGTTTCACCCATCATTTAATAGCTAGCAATCCCATAAGACATTTACTATCATAGAAGTGTTTTCTATGGGTTTTTCTTGCTTAATAGTTAACAAGAAATGCTACTATCATGCTATTATAGCTATACATTAAACCATTTTCATCACATTACTTATGTAATTACATTAAAACAGTTATATAACCAAGAGCTTACTTGTTTTGTTCTAGGTGGAAACAAATGATCAGGTATTCTTGTCACATGATGATTGGGTAGTCTTGTCACATGATGATGGGTAGTTGTGTCACGTGATGTAGTGTATTTGAATAGGGCAACCTCCTTCCCTATGTCAAGTTTTGTTCACCCTGTTTGTTCAACTTGTAAAAATATAGTTGAATAAAGGTGTTTGTATAATTGGCACATTCCAGAATATACCTGTTTTAGACAAATAATTGCACCTTGTAAAAATCAAAATTTTAAAATGTCATTAGATAAGTTCCAACACTCTTGTTGTGTTCAACAAATTAACCTTCTACTTTACATTTGTTTCTTTCTTTGTCTATTGCACCCAGCACTTTATTCTTATAACAACTGCAACAGTTTTCACAGTAGTGATAATGTATGAGTCACTAATATCTAGGACATGTTGCTTTGATCTGTTTGTCAATGTTCTCTCTATAACTGTATTACCCTAATCGGCCTTGTAAAGTTCGCACTGATATATTGTCCACACCTCCTTTTTCGCCATTTGAAATTCAGGAAAAAACTTTTTTTCACTTGATGAAAACATTTATGGGAACTCTAGTAATTTCAAAGCGTGTGTGTAATTTGCCTTATTTTCATGGAAAACGCTGTTTTCCATCAGTAATTAAAAGTCGAAAATCCTTGTAAATGATTCTAGAAAACTTTATGAGTCAAATATCACAAGAAAAACAATGTAAAAGTTGCATTTTTCATCAAGCGGATATCAGAATGGAACATGTAAATCGCAAACAAATACATACGAGTGTTCGGAAAATCCGTACTTTTAAATAGATATCACTAAAGAATATGACTTTGAAACTAAAGCAGTTCGGTTCTTTAGTGAATTACTGTCAGATATATTCATCACATTAATGTTTGACGGACCTTTAGCTAAAATTAAATACATACAGCAGTTTGAAACACCAAAACAGAATGAATAACCAATTACGTTTTGTAGTTTATACATCGTTATGTTTAACTGGTTCTCGGCTGACTTCTTTACTTTTTTCGTAGTGTTGTTAACAAGCAGATTCCAGTTTAAGTTATGCAATTCTATGAAATAAAAAGTTTGTAAATAAGCATTTATTTTTGATAATTATCAGTTAATATTGGATTTTTAAATGAAAATTGCATATTAATATAGATAAGGTAAATTAATAGCTTTCAAAAGAAATAAGGGCACCTCTTCAATTTCAAAAACAATCCTGGCGGCATAAACAAACATCATGGAATCAAGTTTTTATACGACCGCAAACATTTTTTGGGATCGTATAATGGTATGATGTCGTTGTCGTCTGCGTCATCTTCCGAAGACACATTGGTTTCCGGACAATAACTTTAGTTTAAGTGAATGGATCTTGATGAAATTTTTTAAGAAAGTTCAATACCACAAAAGGAAGGTTGGGATTGATTTTGGGGATGATGGTCCCAACCGTTTAGGAATTAGGGGCCCAAAAAGGGGACCAAAACAAGCATTTTTCTAGTTTCAGGATAATAACTTGTGTATAAGTATTTCAATTGCTCTGAAATTGTACCACAATGTTTAATACCACAAGTAGAAGGTTGGGATTCATTTTAGGGGTTATAGGGCCAACAGTTAAGGAATTAAGGGCCAAAAACGAGCATTTTTCTAGTTTCCAGACAATAACTTGTGTGTAAGTGTATGGATCTCTCTGACATTGTACCACAAGGTTCCATATAACTAGTGGAAGGCTGGGATGGAGTTTGGGGTAAATTGCCCCAAACATGTAGGAATTAGGGGCCAAAAAAGGGCCCAAAACAAGCATTTTTCTAGTTTCCAGACAGTAACTTGTGTGTAAGTGAATGGATCTCTCTGAAATTGTACTACAAGGTTCCATACTACAAAGGAAAGGCTGGGATTGAGTTTTGGGGTTATTGCTCCAAGGGGGGTTTCAAAAAGTTGGGGGGGGGGGGGGATTTTTTTCCCAATTTTTTTTAAGGGATTCATATTTTTTTTTCAAAATTTTAAAAATTTCGAATTTTTGAGAAGTTTCAAGAAGAAATCTTCAATTGCACAGTATTGCACAATGGATTTATAATATCTTTGACCACATTTATTTTGTGTCAGAAATCTATATTATGTAAAAAATTTGATTACAATCCAAATTCAGACAGTATCAAGCTTGAATATTGTGTCCAAATTTGCCCCAACTGTTCAGGGTTTGACTTCTGCGGTCGTATCAGGCTGCGCTCAGCGAAGCATTTTATTCTCCTATTTCTTGCCTATTTTACTCTATGGGCACCTCTGATGGCAATCTTGATTTTAGAAGGGAAAAAAGCGGACAATACACGACTGAATTCGGTAGCAGGATATCCAAAATTATCGTCCTTCCATTTGTGTATCATGCTGCTCAGTCACTACATTATTATTGTATTACAGCTTTGAGACGTTGGCAGACATTATCAGCAATGTCACAATGTCTAAAGAGAAGTTATCAGCTGTGCTCACTCGCCAAAATCTTTCACGTTGGGCTCCCGGTTGATATTTTGTGAGATCATTGTGATACTTATGATAATATCTTACTTTCAAAACATACATTCTACAATATGTTGCTAGCCAATAATTTCACCTGCCCATTTAATGTTGAGGAAATAAAACCACGGACTTATAGGACAGATGAAATTACAGGATATATTGTCCACCTGTTGCCACCGTACTTTAGTTATCATTGTCTGCTCATGAATATTTTAACATCTTAAAAAACTTTTTCAAAGACACATTACACAATATATACGGTATGGATTTTTAACCGGATTTTCGAAAGAAAAATCAGTTATTGATTTGGGGATGTACGGTGGGCGGGCAGCTGCCAAACAGTGTCCGTTCATTAACATGAAAACGCTTTGACGAAATCTTTTCAAATTTAGATATGTTGCTTCCTGTTACTAAATGAAGGTCAAGTACAATTTTCACGATTTTATATGTTTTCGTTGTTGAGTATTATATGAATTTGAGTTATTTCCCTTTGAACAGAAATTAATAAATAATTTCTTTGTCATTTGGTCTCTTGTTAGATTTTTTTTTAATTTTGAGGCCTGTCTTCAAATTGGTCCACATTAGGTCCAAAGGGTCCAAAATACTACTTTTTTTTATTTAAAAATAATTGAATTCTTGGTGTTCTTTGATATGCTGAATCTAAGTTGTATTTAGATTTTTGATGATAATTTGAAAATAGATATAACATCATATCTAATTTTAGAGAACTATTTTTTAGGGGTTAAATCATATTTAATTTTAGAGAACTATTTTTATATCATTTATTCAGTTTGAGTTATTTCCCTTTGAACAGAAAATTAATAAGTATATGGATAAAATTAAACTGTGTTTCATTTCAACATAAATTGAATATATATAGGGTTCTCTCAAATTCTGAATCTAAACCTGTATTTAAATATTGGGTTTTTGGGCCCAGTTTTCAAGTTGGTCCAAATCAGGGTCCAAAATTAAATTTAGTTTGATTTCAACAAAAATTGAATTTATGGGGTTCTTTGAAATGCTGAATCTAACCATGTATTTAGAGATTTTGGATTTTGGACTCCTTTATCAAATTGGTCCACATTGAGGTCCAAAGGGTCCTAAATTAAACTTTTGTTTGATTTCATCAAAAATTAAATTCTTGGGGTTCTTTGATATGCTGATTCTAACAATGTACTTAGATTTTGGATATTGGACCATAATAGGTAAATGTCCAATTTCAAATTTTTCAGTTCTTTGACATTCATTTTGTGTCACAAACCTATGCTGTGTCAAATATTCAATCATAATCCAAATTCAGAGCTGTTTTAAGCTTGAATGTAGTGTCCATGCTTGCTCAACTGTTCAGGGTTCGACCTCTGCAGGAAATCTGGTTTGCTGTCACTCTGACTGCCTCTTGTTCATATTGTTTTGTTTTGAACAATTAAAAATCATTACATGTAAGAGAACAGTCCTCCACAAGAAGATAATTGGTGGGATCATACTTGGAACACATGAATATGTTTGTATTATTCTTCATACACATCATGTATTTGGTTGTTATTAACTCCTCTTGAATGATTCAATCCACAAACTTTCAGGCATACCAGCATGGTGGCTAAATGTCATTTTGGTGATATATATATATGTTTCCTCAATGGTAATACAAGACATTTCTCCAACATCCTTCAATATAGATGGGAAAAGCAAAATAGCAATTGTTGCTTTTGCTTTAATGTTAATTTGTGTTGTCAAGGTAATATGGTATTTTATTTTGGCACTCACTTATATTATATTAGTTAATGAGGTTTTGGGAATTAACTATGGTTATGGGATTTTATATAAAGTGAAGTATTAATATAAGAAAGAGTCAAAGTGTGAGGTTAATGATATATATTGTAGAACACTGAAGAAAAAAATCATAGATTTTTTTTTAGGCTTCATACAACATTTTCATTCAAAGACAGCAATGGTCAAGTTTCTACTTTGGATTGTACTGAATGTATTCCACTCATAAAGTGCTTTCACAAAGAAGACATTAATTTAGCTAAGCTCCACATACTCTCAGGAACATTCAATTGTTTGACTTAACCTCACCCTATCTCAAAATCCTAGAATATGGGTCCTAATTGAAAATTGTATGAAATTATCATTAATGGAATGGATTTTGTGGGTAAAGGTTAACTATGAACTTAAATAATCACCTAAATACAAATGTTCCTAAGGCTTGTATGTGGATAATGTTTAAACCATCAAATCAAATATCAACAACTGTAAAAATGTGGAAACTAATGGTATCTAAGAAAATTAAATGAATCCTCATTAAATAAGAAAGAAAATCATGTTTATTGACATATGATTAGACTTTAGATTTTTTTAATTTGATAGTCAAAAATTAAATGAATTCTTATTTGTGTCATATTTGGTTACATTGGAAGATTTAAACAATTTGAAAACCAATGCATTATTTAAATTTTCTAATGTCTAAATTGAGCTGTTTTTATTTTAGTTATTTACAGTGATTTCTAATAAAAGTGTACTTATCAGTTCTTATTTTTCAGTCTTTTTATGACAAAGATTTTGTTCTTGGTTCCAAAGCACCGATATGGATACCTGATGCTCGTGTAACAATGTGTATGTTATGTACATGTGAATTCTCTGTGGCATGGAGAAGACATCATTGTCGATCTTGTGGAAGGGTATGATACTATTTTGAATTTATTACATGTAATAAATGGGTTTTTTTTTGTTATGAAAAATGACTAGATGTAAATCATGCCAAATTTAGTCACAGAAGCTTGAAATTCAGTGGTTCTTTTTAATTTTTAGGGAATTGTTATCTTATTTGATTTGTGAGCACCTTATAAGTGTCTAGAACTTTAGACATTTTCTGTTAACTTACATTTAATGTACAGAAAAGTTGTTTCATCATTTTACGTAAAATTGTTCTATGACCAGATAAATAATGTTAAGTAGAATCAAGTTATCAATTCAAATTGGTTTTTTTTTTCAAGACTGTTGAATTATGTCTTGGCCAATGCTTTGTATGGACTTCAATTCTTAAATGCATATTTTCCTGGTTTCTTGATAAACTTTTGAATCAAGCTTTCAAATATGGTTATGCATCAATAAGGCAGTAACCCACCAACACGATAAAAACAAAATAGTCAATTTTAGAGAATACCACATGTAGTTACTGACAAAGTGAATTATTTGGTTTTTATACGACCGCAAAAATTAAAAATTTTTTGGTCGTATATTGGTATGACGTTGGCGTCGTCGTCGTCGTCTGGCGTCGTCCGGCGTCGTCCGAAGACACATTGGTTTTCGCACTCTAACTTTAGTTTAAGTGAATGGATCTCCATGAAATTTTACCATAAGGTTCAATACCACGAAAGGAAGGTTGGGATTGATTTTGGGGGTTATGGTACCAACAGTTAAGGAATTAGGGGCCAAAAAGGGGCCAAAAATAAGCATTTTTGTAACTTCCAGACAATAACTTGTGTGTAAGTGTATGGATCTCTCTGACATTGTACCACAAGGTTCCATATCACAAAGGGAAAGGCTGTAATTGATTTTGGGGGTAATTGCCTCAAAATTTTAGGAATTAGGGGCCAAAAAAGGGGCAAAAAACAAGCATTTTTCTAGTTTCATGACAATAACTTGTGTGTAAGTGTTTGGATATTTCTGAAATTGTACTACAAGGTTCCATATCACAAAGGGAAAGCTGGAATTGAGTTTGGGGGTAATTGCCCGAAACGTTTAGGAATTGGGGACCAAAAAGGGGCCAAAAATAAGCATTTTTCTAGTTTCCAGACAATAACTTGTGTTCAAGTGTATGGATCTCTCTGAAATTGTACTGCAAGGTACCATACCACAAAGGGAAGGCTGGGATTGAGTTTGGGGGTGATGAATCATAAGGGGGTTCAAAAAATTTGGGGGGGGATTTTTTTTTCTTCTTTTTTTTCTTTTTTTCCTTTTTTTTTTTCTTTTAAAATTTTCCATTTTAAGTTGGTTATTTCTGATTAATATTTAAAAGCAAATAATAATGATATGGTAGGAGATACACACCAAACAGGATGTGTAAATTATTATCTAATAAGTATTGTGCAATAGCAAGAAATTTTCAATTGCACAGTATTGCACAATAGCAAGAAATCTTCAATTGCACAGTATTGCGCAATAGCAAGAAATCTTCAATTGCGCAATAGCAAGAAATATCCAATAGCACAATATTGCGCAATAGCAAGAAATTGTCAATTGTACAGTATTGCGCAATAGCAAGAAATATTCAATTGCACAGTATTGTGCAAAAGAAGATACTTCGTATAAATTGCTTATTTCTTGATCAATTTCAATGGGGTTTTATTCTTGAATTCTTGGGGTTCTTTAATATGCTGAATCTAACCGTGTATTAAGTTTTTGGATTTTGGGCCCCGTTTTTAAATTGGTCCACATTGAGGTCCAAAGGGTCCAAAATTTAACTTTGTTTGATTTCATCAAAAATTGAATTATTGGGGTTCTTTGATATGCTGAATCTAACCGTGTATTTAGATTCTTAATTTTTGGTTCCGTTTTCAAATTGGTCTACATTAAGGTCCAAAGGGTCCAAAATTAAACTTAGTTTGATTTTAACAAAAATTGAATTTTTAGGGTTCTTTGATATGCTGAATCTAAACATGTATTTAGATTTTTGATTATGGGCCCAATTTTCAAGTTGGTCCAAATCGGGGTCCAAAATTAAACTTTGTTTGATTTCAACAAAAATTGAATATATGGGGTTCTTTGATATGCTGAATCTAACCATGTATTTAGATTTTTGATTTTTGGGCCCTGTTATCAACTTTGTCCACATTGAGGTCAAAAGGGTCCAAAATTTAACTTTGTTTGATTTCATCAAAAATTGAATTATTGGGGTTCTTTGATAAGCCGAATCTAACCATGTATTTAGATTCTTAATTTTTGGTTCCGTTTTCAAATTGGTCTACATTAAGGTCCAAAGGGTCCAAAATTAAACTTAGTTTGATTTTAACAAAAATTGAATTTTTAGGGTTCTTTGATATGCTGAATCTAAACATGTATTTAGATTTTTGATTATGGGCCCAGTTTTCAAGTTGGTCCAAATCGGGGTCCAAAATTAAACTTTGTTTGATTTCATCAAAAATTGAATTCTTGGGGTTCTTTGATATGCTGAATCTAACCATGTATTTAGATTTTGGATATTGGACCATAATAGGTGAATGTCCAATTTAAAATTTTTAAGTTCTTAGGCCACATTCATTCTGTGTCAGAAACCTATGCTGTGTCAAATATTTAATCACAATCCAAATTCAGAGCTGTATCAAGCTTGAATGTTGTGTCCATACTTGCCCCAACTGTTCAGGGTTCGACCTCTGCGGTCGTATCAAGCTGCGCCCTGCGGAGCATTTTATTGGATATATATTTTGTTATATATTTTAGGTGATTTGTTCAACTTGCTCAGATAACAGAGCCCCATTAGAATATCTTAGAAACAAACCAGCCAGAGTTTGTAATGAGTGCTTCATCAAACTTAAAACAGGTAAAATAGACACAAAATACTTATATATATATATATATATAAATATATCATATACTTAGAGCAAATAACTTCTAATTTTGCGGTCGTATATTGGTATCACGTCGTCATCGTCGTCCGAAGACAGTTGGTTTCCAGACAATAACTTTAGTATATTTAAATAGAAATCTATGAAATTTAAACACAAGGTTTATAACCACAAAAGGAAGGTTGGGATTGATTTTGGGGGTTATGGTCCTAATAGTTTAGGAATTAGGGGCCAAAAAGGGGCCCAAATAAGCATTTTTCTAGTTTCCAGACAATAACTTGTGGAACGGTGTATGGATCTCTCTGAAATTATACCACAAGTTTCCATACCACAAAGGGATGGTTAGGATTTGTTTTGGGGTGTTATGTTTCAAATGGTTTAGAATTAGAGGCAAAAAGGGGGAAAAACAAGGTTTTCTTGGTTAATGGACAATTACTTGAGACAATTTATAAGCAGTGTAAGGGAGGTAATCCAAACACAACGTTTTGATTACCTCCCTTACACTGCTTTTAAATCATGTATAAAGAAATGTTGTATTGTCTTGAGAGGATTAGCTGTCAATTTATTTTTAGAAGTTACTATTAAGGAATATTAATTTTAGCCATGATTATGTATGTCATTTTCTATTTTAAGACTTTTATGATGTATTTAAATGGGTAATTATGGTTGCAAACTCCATTGGAAATTTGAATCGAGATTATGACCATATCTTGAGGGAAAGAATTTTTTTGGGGGGGAAAGAAATTGTGGGGGGTCAATTTTTTCTAATTTCAGATTTCAGAAATTAAAAAGAAAAATTCTTCAAATATTTTTTTTTTTGTAAAAAAAAAGTGTGTGTGGGGGGGGGGGGTCAATACGCAACAGTATAGTGTATTGCACAAAAGCAAAAAATAAGGGGGGTCAATTTTTTTTTTTTCGTGGGGGGATGGGTGGGTGTTCAATTCGCAACAGCAAAGTGTATTGCACAAAAGCAAAAAATTGAATAAAAATTCAAATCATATAACCAATTCTAAGTTCTTTGACTACAGTTATTCTGTGTCAGAAACCTATCAGGCCATAATCTTGCCGGCGAAATGACGATTTAAGTCGCCAAAGAATTTTGAAAATCGCTTAATCTCACCGGCCGACTGACTTCACAGCGAAGTCAAATCGCTATCAAAATCGGTAAAAGGGAGACAACTTGTGATTGACAAGTCTCACAGGTAAAAAAAAATGGCGGCTGACAAGGAAAATTGAGATTTTCGAAACGACCCAGGACTAATACTGTCAACGATCAAATTAAATAAATACAACGGGGACTTTGAACATCCTCGGATATAACTTTCAAAACTGTTCAAACAGAAAACTGACCGTTTGTTTTAAGTTATCATTTTACGATAATTTTCATCTGAGGATGTTGCGTAATCACTCAGCTGATATGTTTTATTTTTACAACTTACACGAGTCGATCAATTTTACTATTCGGTAGGTAAAAGGTTGGAATTAACGGTAGATTTATTATATTGATTGAATAAAAATTGAAATATAAAAGGTAGAAAGACTGCTGATGGATAATGTGATGGCAAACGTACGACACTCGACCAGGTTGTGATCAGCAGTGGATTGTTTCTCACAAACCATTTCGTTGATATGGATGATATTTTTAAAAAATGATAGAAATTAGCTCTTTGTCGGATAATTAATATGCGATTGAAAAATATTTTCATTTATAGACTTGCAATCTTTAACGATAATCTCAATTTACTACTAACATAATTTCCTGGACATTCAATAATGTTTTACAAAATAATGACAAGTGGTGATATAAATTAAATTCCCAGTCATGTGAAATTCAACAGGAAAACTGGGAGTTATATTTTTTCTGGACTTTTAAAAAATAAATTGAGGCAGATGCACATGAATTTAATGCATCATAATCATGATAATGTTACTAGGCTACTCCCTCATGTCCCAATCAACAAATTTTATTTAGAACACAATGGTATCAATAAATAAATAACAACTATATATTGTCTAAACCTTTTTATTAAGAACTTTCTATATATACATTGTGTACAATAACATATGAAAAAACTGCAAGTATATCTTTTATTGAATATAAAACAATTTCCTTAGTGATAAGCATGAAAACACGATGCAACCGAAACGGTAATGGAATCTCACTTCTCCAAGAAATTGACCACTTCTCCCTTCTCTCTCTTGGAAGGAGAAGTCACTTCTCCCTCTTCAAAATCCTAGATTAGGCCCTGCCTATTATGTGTCAAATATTTAATTACAATCCAAATTCAGACCTGTATCAAGCGCGAATATTGTGTCCATTTTTGCCCCAACTGTTCAGGGTTATACCTCTGCAGTCGTATCCAGCTGCGCTCGGTGAAACAATTTATTACAGTATGATAATAGCATTAAATTTACGTAAATTCCATATTTTCCGTAATGGTGCTTAGTCAGCTGATATGAAAACTTTATATCAACTGCTTCCGGTTATTATCGCATGCCTTTCCATAACGTTATCGCATGGCAATTCGAAGTCACTTGGCAATTTCCGGAAAATACACCTCAATGGTACGTTTTCAGTGAAAAACATAACAAAGCAGGATAGAAAAAAACAAATATTAGGAAACAGAAAAATATATTTTGAGTAATGTAAAACAAATGATGCAATAAAATGCATTTTTTCAAAGTTTTAAAAATAGTTTGTGTATGTATTTTTTCTGCTAAAGTATATGATAAAAAGATTTGAACTTCTACTTGAGAACCACTTAAAAGGATCAATATATTAAACTGGTTTTTTTTTTCTCCATTGTTGAAGCATATGATAAAAAGATCATAACAAATGAGATGTATTATCAGCCCTCGGTCAATATCAGCCCTCAAGCCTTCAGCTCTTGGGCTGATAATACATCTGATATGAAAAATGCCATGTAATAATTTGATAATATATACTCCTTATCCTTTTCAATGTAATAAATGCTTCCAGGAGAGTAACGGTAAAAAAAACAGTTTCAAGTTCAAAAGGAAAAACATTAGTCAGTTCTTTACTTGAAGCTTTGCCAAGAAGGAAATAAATGAAATAGCCTCTCCCTTATGGTATATAACCGCTAATTTGGGCCTGGTTAGAAAGAACAAATAAGAAAGTAGTACATATTAAACAAAATAGTTCCTATGCATAGCTGTAACTTTGTCAATAATTAAAATATTTGGGTAATTTTAAAAATGAAAGCTTCAGGACTTGGGATCTCTAGAACCCTTGTTGAAAGTTTATTTTGAATAAAAAAAAAAAATATGAAATTATAATAGGAGGGCACATTTGCCCTGTTGTTCAGATCAGAAGTACCTGTTTTTGTACTACCAAACTTCCGGTAACCAGTATGCTCTTATTTGCAATTAAAGGTATGTTAAATTTTTTAGCACAATTCAGGATAAGGTATAGTTTTGACATGAAATGACTGCCACTTTATTTGAACTTAAGACAAAGTAGCCATTAATGCTTGAAATTGCAGAATTTAACATATAAAGCAATGGGGCTATGACTTAATGGTTTTGTTCCTTATGTATACAAGATACATTTTATTTACCTCATTACCACCCATATAACTGTATCCTATGACCTTAAGAGATAATGGATTAAGCAATATTTTATTTTCCATATTTTACTGATAAATGGAGCCTCAGCATTAACATACAGTCTGGGTTAACAATTTTAGACATCAATAACTTTGTCAAATCTTTTTATAGTTTTATGAAACTGTATAAAGAAAAAAAAATTTCAAAATTCTTCTGATGGATGGACTTAATTTATTGCAGCTAATATTTACATACAGCTTTTGATTAAATTATTAAGACATCAATAACTTTGTAAAGCCTTCATGGAATTTTATGACCCAAGGACAGAATCTTCTTCAAGACAAAGAAAAACAAATTATTTTTGATACAAACCAGAATGATTGCACTGACAACTGTCCTGATTTACAAACAGTTATACTCAAATGTTTGAATCTTAATTGAAATCCACTCCACTATTATGCAGTCTTTTTTTAATTTACCACAGTTAATATCTCTCGTGTTACATAATTGAATAGACACATTATCACACAATTCTTGACCTCAATAGTATACCTGCAATTACTTTTGATCTACACTACATGAAATAATTCTGTAATTACATGTGAAAGATGAATGGTTAAGGATTAATAAGGTGTGTTGTTTTTTTTTCTCTCAAAGAAATGACAAAAAAATTAAAATATGTATAAAAAATGCAAACAGTTTCTATTTCACTTGTAAAAATCAGTGTCACAATCATCTGAATTAAGTCAATAATTTAGGTTAATTTAAGATACAATTATCAATACTTGCTTGAAACAATAAACAAAATTGCATAACTCTAACCTGAGCATTTTCTGCTATAAAATTTATTTTGTATATCCTCCATTATATTGCTATTTAACAGTATAAGGTATTTGTACATGTATGAAGACAGATGGGAAATTTATTCTTTCTCAATGAAAAATGAACACCAATTTAAGTTTAATAAAATGTTGTTGATTAAAAAGTGTATTTTCAAATAATGCCTCTTTCTGGGAATTGTGAAGTCAAACTTCAATAAAAAAATTACAACACCTACGAAGATTTTCTCTTCCATTCCTGTCAAAATCATTGAATTGCAAAATGTTTATAAAAAAAGATGTGTACATTTATATACCTTCTATAAATGAAATATCAAAAGAATTTGCATAAAGATTTATTTGTTTATTCCCCATTATATTGCTAAATTCTCCCATCTTTGGTGAATAGAATATACATTATATAGTTACATTATGGAAATGAAAATAACCAAAAAACATATATTACTGATAAATGGAGTCTCAGCATTAATATATCAAAATGAGATCAGAAAAATGTCTTGACTATCTACAAAATTGGCTGGATCATAGCACTTACGATGCTTTGACGATGCTTTGATTTTAAAAAAATCTGTATTTTACTGATAAATGGACTTCATTTTATGGTAATCAATATTACACTTTTACACTGATAACAGCAATCACATGTGAGAGACAGGGTTCTGCTGAACCTTTTACTCATTTTTGTCCCCCATGAAACGCGTTGCGGGAGACATAGAAATATGGGGCGTCCGTCCGGTCTTGTTTGCGCTCTCACATGTACAATTCATGCCAGATTTTTATGAAACTTATATCATAAGTTTATATCAGCAATGTATTGGATGAGTTTGAAAATCAGGGCTGATCAATTATTTTTAAAAGAGTTCTGCCCCTTGGAAATATTAATTATATGGAAAATTGCCTTATGAGCGCTCTAATGTGTACAATTCTTGCCAGATTTTTAGGAAATTTATATTAAAGGTTTATATCATCAATGTCTTTGACAATTTTAAAAATCAGTGCCGATCAAATATTTTTAAAAGAGTTATGCCCCTCTGAAATATTGATTATATGGAAAATTGCAATGTTAGCGCTCTCATGTGTTTAATTCTTTCCAGAATTTTATGAAATATATACATGTATCATAGGTTTATATCAGCAATGTCTATGACACTTTCGAAAATAAGTTCTGATCAAATATTTTTAACGAGAGATGCCCCTTGGAAATATTAATTATACTGGAGATCACATTGCATTTGCTCTGAAGCCTTCATTTCTCTTAAGATATTAATAAAAAGTTTTAAAGAACAAAAAAAGTGCTTTTTTTAGTTATTGCCCTTGTACCTAGAATAGATAAAAAAATATGTGCAACACGGGGGATATTGAAACTCTGTTCTTTTATACAAATAATTAAGTTATATGTAATCTTGTTTTTATGATAGATTTTCAAGACAAGGTAGAAACAGGGACTGTTACTGAAAGTATGACAGAGGACATAGATGGATCATTACTTAGTCTAAGCAGTCTAAAGGAAAGATTCCAACAGATCAGGAGAAGTGCTAGATTTTCTACTAAAGTCAAAAGACCTAAAAGATTGGTTGAGGTGAATACATCATATTACTTTTAGGAGTCAGCATAATATGAACAATCATCAAATTTTGTTAACTTTAGATATGTGTTAAGCAAATTCTTTCATATTTGTGGAAATTACTGCTTCAGTTAATTACCATTTTGTCTTGCCTGCCATGAAAGTGGGAAGATTAGACAACGATCCTGTATTCTTTGGTCAGTGTTAGCAACATTTAGGTTTAGTCAGTGGTTAAAGAGTGGGAAGATTAGACAACGATCCTGTATTCTTTGGTCAGTGTTATCAACATATAGGTTTAGTCAGTGGTTAAAGAGTGGGAAGATTAGACAACGATCCTGTATTCTTTAGTCAGTGTTATCAACATTTAGGTTTAGTCAGTGGATAAAGAGTGGGAAGATTAGACATCGATCCTGTATTCTTTGGTCAGTGTTATAAACATTTAGGTTCAGTCAGTGGTTAAAGAGTGGGAAGATTAGACAGTGATCCTGTATTCTTTGGTCAGTGTTATCAACATATAGGTTTAGTCAGTGGTTAAAGAGTGGGAAGATTAGACAACGATCCTGTATTCTTTGATCAGTGTTATCAACATTTAGGTTCAGTCACTGGTTAAAGAGTGGGAAGATTAGACAGCGATCCTGTATTCTTTGGTCAGTGTTATCAACATTTAGGTTTAGTGAGTGGTTTAAGTTTTTCTAGACATCAATAACTTTTGTCTGATTTTAAAAACTACCTTTGTAAAGATATTAGAATTAGCTCTCACTGCAATATAGGCTTTTGTGCCGAGGTGGGATAAAGCAAATACCAATCCATTATCTGTGTTTTACAGATAAATTGACATAGTTTCTTTGGTAGTCAACATTAAACTTTTTATATTGATAATAGCAGTCGCACGTGAGACACAGGGTTCTGCAGAACCACTTACAAATTTTTATTGGAATTATTCCCCTTGATTTGTACACATCTTTAACAAACATGTCATTTATGTAGACTGTCTTTGGCTGTACAAATCATTTTAATTATTGATGTAAAATATAAAAATTTCCACCAAGATCATCATTGAGCAGAGCCATTGTTTTGTAAAGTTGATCTGATACCACAGAGAAGTAAAGGAGGAAGAGATGATAGATTTTGAATCCAGTCTTTAAATAACACAACTTTTGTTTAAAGATGATAGTTGAAGTATGTCTTGATCACATTTGGCATTTACTTTTAATCATTTTTTTTTAGCTCACCTGGACCAAAAGGCCAAGTGAGCTTTTCTCATCACTTGGTGTCCGTCGTCCGTCATCTTCATCTGTTAACTTTTACAAAAATCTTCTCCTCTGAAACTACTTGGCCAAATTTAACCAAACTTGGCCACAATCATCATTGGGGTATCTAGTTTAAAATATGTGTCCCATGATCACGCCTGCCAACCAAGATGACCGACATGGCTAAAAATAGAACATAGGGGTAAAATGCAAGTTTTGTCTATTATTTTAAAAACTGTTATAAATAAAGAAAATTTGACAGGGCAGAAATGTTCAGAATGTTGAGCTCTACCTATTGTCCATTTAACTCAAAACTGTCAGATGATTTCTTTTAGGAGTTATTGCCCTTAAATGATAAATTTTACCATTTTTTTTTAATTTTTGCCTTTTTGTCGAGCCTTCGACTTTTGTCGAAAAAGCGAGACATAGCGATCCTACATTCCGTCGGCGTCGGCGTCGGCGGCGGCGTCCACAAATATTCACTCTGTGGTTAAAGTTTTTGAAATTTTAATAACTTTCTTAAACTATCCTGGATTTCTACCAAACTTGGACAGAAGCTTGTTTACGATCATAAGATAATATTCAAAAGTAAATTTTGTAAAAAAAAAATTCCAATTTTTCCGTATTTTACTTATAAATGGACTTAGTTTTTCTGCCAAGAAACATAACATTCACTCTGTGGTTAAAGTTTTTGAAATTTTAATAACTTTCTTAAACTATCCTGGATTTCTACCAAACTTGGACAGAAGCTTGTTTATGATCATAAGATAATATTCAAAAGTAAATTTTGTAAAAAAAAAAATTCCATTTTTTCCGTATTTTACTTATAAATGGACTTAGTTTTTCTGCCAAGAAACATTACATTCACTCTGTGGTTAAAGTTTTTGAAATTTTAATAACTTTCTTAAACTATCCTGGATTTCTACCAAACTTGGAAAGAAGCTTGTTTATGATCAAAAGATAGTATCCAGAAGTAAATTTTGTAAAAAAAAATTCCATTTTTTCTGTATTTTACTTATAAATGGACTTAGTTTTTCTGCCATGAAACATTACATTCACTCTGTGGTTGAAGTTTTTGAAATTTTAATAACTTTCTTAAACTATCCTGGATTTCTACCAAACTTGGAAAGAACCTTGTTTATGATCAAAAGATAGTATCCAGAAGTAAATTTTGTAAAAAAGTAAAAAATAAATTCCATTTTTTCCGTATTTTACTTGTAAATGGACTTAGTTTTTCTTCCAGTTAACATTACATACAGTCTGCACTTTAAGTTTTTAAAACATTTATTAGATTGATAAACTATCCTGGATTTTTACCAAACTTGGACAGAAGCTACTTACAATCAAAAGATAGTATAGAGAGGAATATTTTTATTAATTTTTTTCCTCATTTTTGTTGAGCCTGCGATTAACAGCAAAAGTAGGCGAGACACTGGGTTCCGCGGAACCCTTACGAATTTTTATCTTGAAAACTATAATAGATAGAGCGTAACTTTAAAATGCAAAAATGATCAGCTAGACATGTTCTACAATTAAGTCTTAAGGTTGAAATCATCAGTCGACTCCTTATTAGAGTTGTAGCCCTTTGATGACGAATTTTTACCAAATTTTTATACGACCGCAAAAAAAATTTTGTGGTCGTATATTGGTATGACGTTGGCGTCGTCGTCGTCGTCGTCCGAAGACACATTAGTTTTCGCACTCTAACTTTAGTTTAAGTGAATGGATCTCAATGAAATTTTACCATAAGGTTCAATACCACAAAAGGAAGCTGGGGGTTATGGTACCAACAGTTAAGGAAAAAGGGGCCAAAAATAAGCATTTTTGTAACTTCCAGACATAACTTGTGTGTAAGTGTATGGATCTCTCTGACATTGTACCACAAGGTTCCATATCACAAAGGGAATGCTGGGATTGATTTTGGGGGTAATTGCCTCCAAAGTTTAGGAATTAGGGGCCAAAAAGGGGCAAAAAACAAGCATTTTTCTAGTTTCATGACAATAACTTGTGTGTAAGTGTATGGATATTTATGAAATTGTACTACAAGGTTCCATATCTCAAAGGGAAAGCTTGAATTGAGTTTGGGGGTAATTGCCCAAAAAGTTTAGGAATAAGGGGCCAAAAAGGGGCCAAAAATAAGCATTTTTCTAGTTTCCAGACAATAACTTGTGTTCAAGTGTATGGATCTCTCTGAAATTGTACTGCAAGGTACCATACCACAAAGGGAAGGCTGGGATTGAGTTTGGGGGTGATGAATCATAAGGGGGTTCAAAAAATTGGGGGGGGGGGATTTTTTTTCCTTTTTTTTCTTTAAAATTTTCCATTTTAAATTGGTTATTTCTGATTTATATGTAAAAGCAAATAATAATGATATGGTTTGAATAGGTAAATTAAAAATTTTTAAGATCTTAGACCACTTTCATTCCGTGTCAGAAACCTATGCTGTGTCAAATCTTTAATTACAATCCAAATTCAGTGCTGTATCAAGCTTGAATGTTGTGTCCATACTTGCCCCAACTGTTCAGGGTTCGACCTCTGCGGTCGTATCAAGCTGCGCCCCAGCAGAGCATTTTATTATATTTTGCCTTATATCTTAAAAATTTTAATAGATAGATAGAAACTTAAATAGGCAAAAATGATCAGCAAAACAAGATCTACAATTAATACAAATGGGGGAAATCGTCCGATGACTCCTTATTGGAGTTATTGCCCTTTAATGATCGATTTTTACCATATTTTTTTTTGCATTGTGCCTTATATGATAAAAAATATAATAGATAGATAGAGACTTAAATAAGCAAAATTGATTAGCAAGACAAGATCTACTAACAAGTCAAATTTTGCCAATATAGTTAGTAGACTGTCACTCTTTATAGGAGTGATTGCCTTTAATTTAGGATTTTTTTTTACCCTCTTTTGTGTTTTGAGCAAACACTTAAGAAGATAGAGAGAAACTAAACAGACTAAATGATCAGCAATACAAGATCAACAAAACAGAGATTTTTGTCATGAATTCTATTCTCGCCTACAATGTTGGAGAGTGTCATTTGTTGAATATACATATAGACCAAGGTGAGCGACACAGGCTCTTTAGAGCTTCTAGTTTTTCATGGCACGGTCATCTTTGATCACTAGTTCAGCTAATTTTAGTTTTCCTTTAAAATGTTCAACTGATGTCTGTCTCTGGCTAAAATGGAATGGACAGATACAACTCACATTATGATAAAAATTAACTCCTCTGAGAATAACAAAATTTGGATTCAGAGGTATTTTTTTTCTGCTTTCAGGTTCATGCAAATAATCTAGACTGTAGTATGAGTGGATACCTGAAAGTTCTGAAAGGAAAGAAATGGAAAAAATTCTGGTTCTTACTTAAAGATAAAGTGTTGTATAAATTCAAGGCTAGTGAGGTAATATTTGTAAAATTATTGCAAAATATTAAACTAAATAATAAGAAGTTGTAATGCATAAATACACTATTGTCAAAATTTGCTAGGTATGCAGACTTTATGCAGGCTAGACTTGAAACAAAAAACTTGAGTTATCCTTCTTTTTGTACATAATGTATTCCTATACTGTTAATTCAATTATGACGTCAAATTTTCTTGGTTTCTTCTGAATTTCCTATTATGATGTCATGAAAAAAGGCGACTATGCCTGATGACGTCACATATAAAAAACACAACTTTCTGCAAATCTTTGAATAGGAAGGATACACTTCGTTTAGATTTCGTCTAAAAATCATTTAGAGAAACAGATTCCACCACTATAACTCGTGTATTACAATATTTCTCCACTCTCAACAGTTAAAAATATGTGACATTATCAGGCATAGTGGCCTTTTTTCATGATGTCAAAATTGGAAATTCAATTTGACCAATCATTTGCCAAGAACAAAGTTTTCTCTAGAGAAAAGTAATATTTTTCTCACTCCGATCGTGAAATGTGAAAAAAGCATGAAAATTAAAGAAATAAGAGTTATTATGTAGGGTTATCTTAAACCTACACAGCCAAAATTGAAAGGATAGTACTTTCATTTTGTTATGGATACTTTTCACAATTGTATGAAAGTTCACTCTTATTCAAACTTTTGATGAATTTAATCTTCAATTGAGGAAATCCCTCAATTTGAAAACCTGACACAAAATACAATATACATGAAGTTTGTGATTCCAACACAGAAATATTTCCCTATACTATGAAGTATGATGATTTTACAGGATGTAGCTGCTAAAGAATCCATGGCTGTGATTGGTTATGAAGTAATTAAAGTTTCGGAGGTAAGAAAATCAACTTTGAAATTTGTGTAAACAATCTTCTTAATAAAAAGGGCATTTGTATTAGGAATACACAATTATATTGAAGCCTATTTCATAATAATCAGGACATATTTTGCTATTCCCCACTTCTAGAAAATCTTGTAAAATATAAAATAGAGATGTAAACAATTACAGATCACTGTACCGCCTACAGCAATGATCAAAACCCGTACCTATGAGAATGCTTAAAAGGGCCCAGTATGACAAGGTATCTCAAAGTCAATGACTGTGTATTTATACAATCCCAACCAAAGGGACTTCAAATGTGTATTAGAAAATACTGCAAAGCCAAATGGTCACAGTTTTTCAGGAACTATGAATCATAGGTTCCTCATATATTGTATCAAGTATCATGTGAGCATGCTTTGCTGTGTGATGCACTTCCAATTTCATCAATCATCCGCTTCCTATTTACCTAAAACTTATATATTCTTACACATAATGGCTATTTTATGATGTATAAAATGTTGGTTACTTTTTTCTCAGAAACTACAAATCAGAGTTTCCTGAAATTTGGTATTAAGCCTCATGTGATCATGCTTTATTGTGTGATTGAACTCAAGATTCATTGTTCATCCACTTCCTGTTTACCGAATACTTATATTCTGTTGCATTTTTATACGACCGCAAAAATTAAAAATTTTTGGTCGTATATTGGTATCACGTTGTCGTCAGCGTCGTTCGAAGACAGATGGTTTCCGGATAATTACTTTAGTATAAGTAAATAGAAATCAATAAAATTTTAACACAAGGTTTATAACCACTAAAGGAAGGTTGGGATTGATTTTGGGGGTTATGGTCCCAACTGTTTAGGAAATAGGGGCCCAAATAAGCATTTTTATACGACCGCAAAAATTAAAAAATTTTTGGTCGTATATTGGTATGACGTTGGCGTCGTCGTCGTCCGGCGTCGTCGTCGTCGTCGTCGTCGTCCGAAGACACATTGGTTTTCGCACTCTAACTTTAGTTTAAGTGAATGGATCTCCATGAAATTTTACCATAAAGTTCAATACCACGAAAGGAAGGTTGGGATTGATTTTGGGGGTTATGGTACCAACAGTTAAGGAATTAGGGGCCAAAAAGGGGCCAAAAATAAGCATTTTTGTAACTTCCAGACAATAACTTGTGTGTAAGTGTATGGATCTCTCTGACATTGTACCACAAGGTTCCATATCACAAAGGAAAGGCTGTAATTGATTTTGGGGGTAGTTGCCTCAAAATTTTAGGAATTAGGGGCCAAAAAAGGGGCAAAAAACAAGCATTTTTCTAGTTTCATGACAATAACTTGTGTGTAAGTGTTTGGATATTTCTGAAATTGTACTACAAGGTTCCATATCACAAAGGGAAAGCTGGAATTGAGTTTGGGGGTAATTGCCCGAAACGTTTAGGAATTGGGGGCCAAAAAGGGGCCAAAAATAAGCATTTTTCTAGTTTCCAGACAATAACTTGTGTTCAAGTGTATGGATGTCTCTGAAATTGTACTGTAAGGTACCATACCTCAAAGGGAAGGCTGGGATTGAGTTTGGGGGTGATGAATCATAAGGGGGTTCAAAAAATTTGGGGGGGGGATTTTTTTTTTTTCTTTTTTTTTCTTTTTTTCCTTTTTTTTTTCTTTTAAAATTTTCCATTTTAAGTTGGTTATTTCTGATTAATATTTAAAAGCAAATAATAATGATATGGTAGGAGATACACACCAAACAGGATGTGTAAATTATTATCTAATAAGTATTGTGCAATAGCAAGAAATTTTCAATTGCACAGTATTGCACAATAGCAAGAAATCTTCAATTGCACATTATTGCGCAATAGCAAGAAATCTTCAATTGCACAGTATTGCGCAATAGCAAGAAATATCCAATAGCACAATATTGCGCAATAGCAAGAAATTGTCAATTGTACAGTATTGCGCAATAGCAAGAAATATTCAATTGCACAGTAATGTGCAAAAGAAGATACTTCGTATAAATTGCTTATTTCTTGATCAATTTCAATGGGGTTTTATTCTTGAATTCTTGGGGTTCTTTAATATGCTGAATCTAACCGTGTATTAAGTTTTTGGATTTTTGGGCCCCGTTTTTAAATTGGTCCACATTGAGGTCCACAGGGTCCAAAATTTAACTTTGTTTGATTTCATCAAAAATTGAATTATTGGGGTTCTTTGATATGCTGAATCTAACCGTGTATTTAGATTCTTAATTTTTGGTTCCGTTTTCAAATTGGTCTACATTAAGGTCCAAAGGGTCCAAAATTAAACTTAGTTTGATTTTAACAAAAATTGAATTTTTAGGGTTCTTTGATATGCTGAATCTAAACATGTATTTAGATTTTTGATTATGGGCCCAGTTTTCAAGTTGGTCCAAATCGGGGTCCAAAATTAAACTTTGTTTGATTTCAACAAAAATTGAATATATGGGGTTCTTTGATATGCTGAATCTAACCATGTATTTAGATTTTTGATTTTTGGGCCCTGTTATCAACTTTGTCCACATTGAGGTCAAAAGGGTCCAAAATTTAACTTTGTTTGATTTCATCAAAAATTGAATTATTGGGGTTCTTTGATATGCCGAATCTAACCGTGTATTTAGATTCTTAATTTTTGGTTCCGTTTTCAAATTGGTCTACATTAAGGTCCAAAGGGTCCAAAATTAAACTTAGTTTGATTTTAACAAAAATTGAATTTTTAGGGTTCTTTGATATGCTGAATCTAAACATGTATTTAGATTTTTGATTATGGGCCCAGTTTTCAAGTTGGTCCAAATCGGGGTCCAAAATTAAACTTTGTTTGATTTCATCAAAAATTGAATTCTTGGGGTTCTTTGATATGCTGAATCTAACCATGTATTTAGATTTTGGATATTGGACCATAATAGGTGAATGTCCAATTTAAAATTTTTAAGTTCTTAGACCACATTCATTCTGTGTCAGAAACCTATGCTGTGTCAAATATTTAATCACAATCCAAATTCAGAGCTGTATCAAGCTTGAATGTTGTGTCCATACTTGCCCCAACTGTTCAGGATTCGACCTCTGCGGTCGTATCAAGCTGCGCCCTGCGGAGCATTTTATTGTAGTTTCCAGACAATAACTTGTGTTAAAGTGTATGAATCTCTCTGAAATTATACAACAAGTTTCCATACTACAAAGGGATGGTTAAGATTGACTTTTGGGGGTTATGTCTCAAACCATTTAGGAATTATGGGCAAAAAAAGGGGAAAAACAAGGGTTTTTCTGGTTAAAGGACAATTGAGACAATTTAAAAGTAGTGTAAGGGAGGTAATCCAAATCAATTTTAAAGAACAATGTTTGATTACCTCCCTTACACTGCTTGTAAACTATGTATTAAGAAATGATGATTGTCCTGAGGAGATTAGCTGTCAATTTATTTTTAGCAGTTACTATTAATTAATATTTATTTTAGCCATGACTATGTATGTCATTTTATATTTTAAGACTTTTATGATGTATTTAAATGGGTAATTATGGTTGCAAACTCCATAAGAAATTTGAATTGAGATACTAACCATATCTTGAGGGAAAGAATTTTTTTTGGAATGTGGGAAAGGGGGAGGTGAAAAAAATTGGAGGGGAGGGCAATTTTTCTCATTTCAGATTTCAGAAATTAAAAGAAAATTTCTTCAAATATTTTTTTGGGGGTTAATATTCAACAGCATAGTGTATTGCACATTTTGGCCCCGACTGTTCAGGGTTGGACATCTGCAGTCGTATCCAGCTGCGCTCAGCGAAGCAATTTATCTCTACAAGCCAAGGCTTTTTTAAAATTAGGAATCAACCTTCATGTTGGTATGCTAAACTGTGTTATGTTTTTAACATCCGTCTTTCAACAACACACTGTTAACTGAATATTTACAGAGGGGGTATCTTCAGTGAGCAAAATATCAATTTGTTCCAACTTACTCCTAAATGATGTTTGCTTAGTGGAGAAACAGTTAATACCTGTATTGAAGATTTAAGTTTGTTTTGACCAATGATCATGCCACATCTCCTGAACTTGAGGTGAGCATGGTTCTTTAAGACAGCAAAGAAGGTAAACAGAGAAGATGGGACAGCATCATAACAGCATCATTTTTTTTTTAAAGTCTGTCTTATAATTAATATTTTATAATATGTAGTATAACTTCTTTTTATTAAAATTTTGGAAGATTTTTATCAATAAATGCAGGTGTCAAAAAAGCATTTATTCATATTTCAGAATTTTGAAGGTGTTGCAGCTAATCTTGTATTCAAATTAAGCCATAAGAATCAGTCGCCATTTGTGTTCCAAACAGATAACTCATCTTCTACAGACAGGTTAGTATGGAGGCAATTGCCTTTCATTTTCATTAAAATAGCAAGGGATATACTTGTTTAAAGTGTTTAAAAATGTGTTTGAAAAATTTCACTTGAAAATATGGTGTTCAAAAGTTAGAGCCAGCACTTATAAATAACAGGCTTGCTGACTATGCAACTCATATCTATTCTTTAAAAATCAAATTTACACGTATATTATTTATATAATAATTGTTTTGAAAGTGGAAAATCCCAAATGAAACCAGATTATTTGTCTCAATGTTTATTCTTGGTTAACTATTTTTCAGATGGATAAAAGCAATGGAAGATGCAGTTCAAGGTTAAAGAGTTATCTCCCATAGAAAATGGTGAAAAGATTGTGAATATTGTTAAATTCCATATGAAATATCACGTTTTTGACCATCTCATTTAACCCTGTCATAATTTATTTTTGTATTTATTTATTATGTCTATATTAAAGGTGCCATACATTTTTAAATGAGAATCATAGTTTTATAAATTTTTGGCTTTATTTTAAAATATTATTTACTCAAGTGTTGCATCCTATAAATCTTGTTTATTTTTTCTTTAGCTTAACTTCTTCATAACTTGTTTAAAAGTAGAATTATATCTTCTTGTCGTTTTAAGACAAAACTTGTTTGCTTTCTGCTGGGATTAGTTATTTTGTAGCTACAAGGCTTTATTGCCTTCTATATGAAAAGTCCAATGATAGAATCTGTTATATTAACATAAAATGTTATTTTCTTTTGTTACTATATTTACAAACAAGGGTTGTATGATTGTTTTTGGTAACCCTATAATTGGGTTTACTGTTAATGTGCAATTTAATTAAGTTTTTATCACTTAAGTGTGATTTTGTTATACATATTATTACTTACATAATATACCCTGTAATGACTCAGAGATTAAATTAGTTATAGAATGGAATTACAGGATACACATTATTATGAATTATTGCCACTTATCATTTATTTCTAAATGAATTCTGAATTGGTAAAGTTAGATAAACAATATAATACACAAGATTTTATGTGAGAATTTGTGTAAATATAATTTACTCATAATTGGAAATAATATTAAATTTACAATTAATTAAAATAATATGGAAATATTTATATTCATAAGTAAAAATTTCTATGGTTTCTGAATAAAATGCACAATATTTTTTGCACAAGTAATCTTAAAATCAAGACTGCTGACAAGTAATTCTGTATTATGAGTGATGTTTTTTTTTTTTCTGAAGATTTTTCAGTAAGAATTGCTATTGAATCAGCTGCTCTTACATTTTTGCATTAATCGTTTAATTGAAAATTTGTTGGTATAGGGCGCTTTATTTCACTATTTTGATGAACAACAGAATCCATAAAAATTAGTCATCGATGAATTATACTTGCATCATACTATATTTGGCAGCAGAAATCTATTTATATATGAGTAAAGGGATAATGACCAGCTTTATAAGGTTTATATCAAAAACCTTTAAGTTCATAAAATGTATATTTTTATGTATATTGTTTTTTTACATTATATCAATACTTGGCCGTTGCCATGGATATTTTGAAGATATAAACGAGTTGGCTGTGAATATATCTCTGGAACATTAATATTAAACATTTTGGATTTTCACAATGCTGTCAATCATTTGTTATCTATTGCTGGTAGATGAAGTATGAGCGAAAGCTGGACATTTTTGAGAGACAAACACCCCTTTTTAGCTCACCTAGCTTTTCTCATCACTTGGCGTCCGCGTCGGCATCCGTCGTCATTAGCTTTTTACAAAAATCTTCTCCTCTGAAACCACTGGGCCAAATTTAACCAAACTTGGCCACAATCACCATTAGGGTATCTAGTTAAAAAAATGTGTCCGATGACCCCGCCAACCAACAAAAATGGCCACCATGGCTAAAAATAGAACATAGGGGTAAAATGTAGATTTTGGCTTATATCTCTGAAACCAAAGCATTTAGAGTAAATCTGACAAAGGGTAAAACTGATTATCAGGTCAAGATCTATCTGCCCTGAAATTTTCAGACAAATCTGACATTCTGTTGTTGTGTTGCTGCCCCTGAATTGGTAAATTTAAAGAAATTTTGCCTTTTTTTATACAACCGCAAAAAAATTTTGAGGTCGTATATTGGTATGACGTTGGCATCATCGTCGTCGTCGTTGTCGTCCGAAGACACATTGGTTTTCGCACTCTAACTTTAGTTTATGAATGGATCTCTATGAAATTTTACCATAAGGCTCAATACCACAAAAGGAAGGTGGGGATTGATTTAGGGGGTTATGGTACCAACAGTTAAGGAATTAGGGGCAAAAAAGGGGCAAAAAATAAGCATTTTTGTAACTTCCAGACATAACTTGTGTGTAAGTGTATGGATCTCTCTGACATTGTACCACAAGGTTCCATATCACAAAGGGAATGCTGGGATTGATTTTGGGGGTAATTGCCTCCAAATTTTAGGAATTAGGGGCAAAAAAGGGGCAAAAAACAAGCATTTTTCTAGTTTCATGACAATAACTTGTGTGTAAGTGTGTGGATCTCTCTGACATTGTACCACAAGGTTCCATATCACAAAGGGAATGCTGGGATTGGTTTTGGGGGTAATTGCCTTCAAATTTTAGGAATTAGGGGCAAAAAAGGGGCCAAAAATAAGCATTTTTCTAGTTTCCAGACAATAAAATGTGTTCAAGTGTATGGATCTCTCTGAAATTGTACTGCAAGGTACCATACCACAAAGGGAAGGCTGGGATTGATTTTGGGGGTAATTCCCTCAAAATTTTAGGAATTAGGGGCAATAAAAGGGCCAAAAAACAAGCATTTTTCTAGTTTCAGGACAATAACATGTGTGTTAGTGTATGGATCTTTATGAAATTGTACTGCAAGGTTCCAGATCACAAAGGGAAAGCTGGGTTTGAGTTTGGGGGTAATTGCCCTAAACGTTTAGGAATTTGGGGGCAAAAAGGGGCCAAAAAACAAGCATTTTTCTAGTTTCCAGACAATAACTTGTGTTCAAGTGTATGGATCTCTCTGAAATTGTACTGCAAGGTACCATACCACAAAGGGATGGCTGGGATTGAGTTTGGGGATGATGAATCATAAGGGGGTTCAAAAAATTTGGGGGGGGGGGATTTTTTTTCATTTTTTTTCTTTAAAATTTTCCATTTTAAATTGGTTATTTCTGATTTATATATAAAAGCAAATAATAATGATATGGTTTGAATAGGTAAATTTAAAAATTTGTAAGTTCTTAGACCACATTCATTCTGTGTCAGAAACCTATGCTGTGTCAAATATTTAATATCAATCCAAATTCAGTGCTGTATCAAGCTTGAATGTTGTGTCCATACTTGCCCCAACTGTTCAGGGTTCGACCTCTGCGGTCGTATCAAGCTGTGCCCCAGCGGAGCATTTTATTGGTTATTATCTTGAATATTATTATAGATAGAGATAAACTGTAAACAGCAATAATGTTCAGCAAAGTAAGATCTACAAATAAGTTGTCATGAACAAAATTGTCAGTCGACCCCTTTAGGAGTTATTGCCCTTAATAGTCAGTTTTTAACAATTTTTTGTAAATTTTTGTAATCTTTTACAAAAATCTTCTTCTCTGAAACTACTGAGACAAATTTAACCATACTTGGCCATAATCATTATTAGGGTATCTAGTTAAAAAAATTGTCCCATGACCCCGCCTTCCAACCATCATGGCTGACTTGGTTAAAAATAGAACATAGGGTAAAATGCAGTTTTTGGTTTATATCTCTGAAACTAAAGCATTTAGAGCAAATCTGACAGGTGGCAAAAATGTTCAGATTTAGATTTATATGCCCTGAAATTTTCAGACAAATCCGACAACCCGTTGTTGGGTTGCTGCCCCTGAGTTAGTAATTTTACAAATATTTTGCAGTTTTTTGTTATTATCTTAGATATCATTATAATATCTAATATCTAATACTATTAATTATGATTTTAACCTTATTTTACATGATTTCCAAAGCATCAGTAAATACAGGTGAGCGACACAGGCTTTTGAGAGCCTCTAGTTTGTCATTTTATACAATGTACCAAATGTGAAACAATATGAGATAGTCTATTGGGAAAAGGTACAAAAATTTTCGAAAAATATTTTTTTTGAATAAGACATACAGCTTTATTTAAAGTCTGTATATGCAAAACAATTACAAACATAAGCTCTGAAGAGCTTTTAAAACCGACAATGCATTCTGATTTTGATTACAAAATAATCATTCTTGAAAAGACTGTCTTTAAACTTGATTTCAATTTCAATTTTAATACACCATTTATAAAAGTAAAAATGAAAGATAAATTAAAATATTAGATGGTATAGGTCCAAATACCGAAATTGAACACAATAATAAAATTTCATATTTTAATGTGGGAAGTGAGTTTTAACCTAAACATGAGGGCAAACCTTGTAAATTAGGGATTGTTTTATGAAACATTTTACAACAAAAAATGTAATAGAAAAGAATACAAGGCAAACTAATGTTTCAAATCCAATCAGGGACCATTATTTGAACTTTATAATATTTAATAACTTAATTCAGATGGTGAATTAGAAACGAAAGATTCAATTATTTTTTGTATTGCCTTCCTTTTTCATGAAATAAGAAATATCTTTAAACTAATGTTGATGTTTCAGATCAGATAACTGTTGTCTCATATAATTAACAATTGCACACTGGTTAAATTCAAAATTATCAGGCAAATGTGTATCTTTTGTCACTATAAGTGATAAACTGATGACAGAACTGATAATTGAAAGCTTTAAGTCACAACATTATTTTAAGGTTAATCATTTTGTTCAAAAGTTTTTCAAAATGCTTTTTATACATGAAGTTACTGGTATATTTTTTTTAGATATATAGATTTGATTCTGTCGGATATTTCTACATTACCAGTATATTTTGTGTCTGCAGGCCAGATGCATATAAAGGATCTGTCTTTATACATGTACTTTTTTCATCATTATTATTCTGATCTTTCTATCTCCACAGCATTGTGGAATCTCTATATTTCACAAAACAGAGCAAAATCTCACTTTTCTTTTATTATTCATTTTTCACTTCAAGGTTAAAATCTTTGTGAAAAAAAAAATATTTTACACGTCATGAGCATCTTCTCCACAAGTTTGCATGTATATTTCAAATGGTGGAATACAAAAGGTGATAATTACTAATTAATTTATATGCAAAAAAGATTTCTGTCTTATTATAAGAGAAAAACATCAAATAATACAAAAAGTTTCTCTTCCAAATTAAAGGTATACCAGAAGTCTGTATAATAAGACTTGTGACAAAAACATTTTGGATGAAGATTTTGATGAATTGATAAAACAACTTTTTCCATCATTGTTATAATGTATATTCAAGCATTTTTTGAAGTAAGTAGTTAAAAAAAACTGTCCTAGTTTAAATGAAAATAACACTAAATTTTGATTATGTATATCTTATATTAATTTAGATACTGAATTTCTATTTGAATTAATAATATTTCGAGTTTCAGTTTAACAGCCATGTATGCACCAGAATTTTTTAATTTAGTAGCTTTTACAGCTTTCTATCTATTTTGCACCTTTACATTAGTTTTGTTGAATTTTGTGAATTGTTACATTGACATGTTGCTTTCTATATGATTGTACAGTAATATAGACTATGATTAATTGTTATGTACAAATTATAAGTAAATTTTACCAAACATATAATGACTTTTTGTATATTTATTTATTACATTTTTTCCCTGACTTTTTATAGAATTCCATTACATGCTGTATATAGAGTTTACAGGAAAATTGAGATTAAATTCATTAGTCAGAGAGAAACTTTATTAGGCTGTTAGTTTTCTCAATTGAATTGTTTCATATTTTTCATGTCTGGGCCTTTTATAGCCGGCTATACTATACTGTATGGGTTTTTATCAATTGTTAAAGGCCATACAGTTGCCTATAATTGCTTACATCCACTTTATTTAAACTTTGGTGGATAGTTGTCTCATTGGCAATCATACCACATCACCTTATACGACCGCAAAAATTTTGCGGTCATATATTGGTATCACGTCGTTGGCGTCAGCGTCGTCCAAAGACATTTGGTTTCCGGATAATAACTTTAGTTTAAGTGTATGGATCTCTATGAAATTTTACCAAAAGGTTCAATACCACAAGTAGAAAGGTTGGGATTCATTTTGGGGTTAATTGCCCAAACCGTTCAGGAATTAGGGGCCAAAAAGGGTCTAAAACAAGCATTTTTCTAGTTTTCAGACAATAACTTGTGTTTAAGTGTATGGATGTCTCTTAATTTGTACCACATTTTATAAAAAGAAAATTTCTTCAAAATTAATTTTGTTGGAAAAGGGGGGGTGAAGGGGCAATTTTTTTTCCTTGAAAGAAAATTCTCTTCAAATTTTTTTTTTTTTTTGGAGGGGTGTAAAAAAAAATTTTTGGAGGGGAGTCAATCTTTTTTTCCTCGAGATTTAAGAAATTGTCAATTTTCCAAAGAAAAAAATTGGGGGTCACTATTTATTTTGCTAATTCTTTGTACATAGTCTGAAAACAGATTTACTAAGTATTGCGCAACAGCACAGTGTATTGCACAACAGCAAGAAA